ATTGAATTATGTATGAAGTGGAAAGAGGCTCTGTAGAGGAAGCGTTCCCCGATCAGCTGCAGTGGAAGGAGCTCTGTCCTCAGCCTGAAGTGATGTGGAAACTAATGTGGAGTTAGTCGCAGGGCAGCTCTCCCGTGCACCGCTGTCTGCTGGGATTGTGCCCACTGACAAGAAATATGAGCAGGTCTACCTTAAACCCGCTCGTGGTTGTGTTATGGTTTTTCCCTTGTGTTCATCTTTCAGAAAATTTGTATAGTACAAGTCGACCTGTCAGAACTGGCTGTCTTCTCATCTGTACTCAAGGGAACCTCAGAAATACAATTTAGCAGCGACCAAGTTCCTCTTTTGATTCATCCATAATTCCAAAAAGGTCCGGAGTAATTCTCTGTGCCCTGTGTGACCTGGGGATTGTAGAAGATCCTCTTTAAGTGTTTGTTGTTAAAGCCTGGGATCTGGGTTCTAGGAATATGTTATATACATTTTTGTATTTTTAACATCCACCTTTGCAATACTGTTAGTACTGTACTGTAGTAAGTTATGATTTAAAAAACTGTATTCAAGTGTTTTTTACATTTACTTTCTTCATAAAAGCGAGTTAATAATTAATAATTCTACCCCTCAAAGTGTTTGCACCCCTTTAAGGAGATGTAGACCGTAGGAACAGAATAGGACTTTTTTCAGTACATAGTACAGTTATTCAACACATTACCTTTAAACACATTTTCACCAAAATGCACACCATGTTGTGCATTTTGTTAGGTTCTAACCTCGTTATATATAGCATTTTATAATTTGTTTTCTTAATACATTCACACAGTAAATGCAGTTTTTAATAATAATTTGAATACTGAGATCTTTGTGCATGATAATTTGCACTTTTATTGCATTTAACAACAAAGCAACACCTCCTTTGAGCGAGCATTAGTCCTGTAGTTGTGTTTCACGCAATCGTCCTGGTTCTGGCTCACGCCTCTCATCAGCTGTAATGTGAAGAGAGCAACCAGTCAACTTTTGCCTCAGCACTGGTTGCCGTTGGCAACAATCTTCTATCATTGCTGCTAGAAAAGCACTAAAGTGGGTTACATGAGACGAGAAGCCTTTCCCCACTGCTCGATAAAGCAATGCTTTTCTTCTAAAGAGATGCGGGCTGAGCTGAAGATGAATGCACTACTTTTGACATGTTTCTACTTCTCTGTTCTGAGTTTACTTCAACCTTATGTAAGTTCTGTTTTAATAGCAAACATGAAATTCAATCCTAATTTAAATATGGATACTTCTGAATGCAGAGAATATATGAATCATACAAAGGATCCAAACTGCTCTAGTGTCAAACAAAGCCATGTCACCAGTGCCTCTTCACTAATGCTTGTCCCTTGTGTAAAGTACGTCTTTAATTATTCAGTGGGAGATTAGTGTGAGAAAGGATACTGCATAACAGATAGATAGAACTCATCCCAGTCTGATCGCTACTTTAACTCATTGACTGCCAGCCGTTTTTTAAGATTTCACTGACTTTCAAGACCCACAGAATATTATGTGTTATGACTGTGTGAAATATGAAACCAGATTCTGAAAGTCTGGACTGTCTACTTTCATCAGCAAAAATAAGTTTTCTTATAACTGGTTTTGTTCTTCAGTAATCTCCAGTTGAATATAGGGAAGTTTGACAGAAATCTCCAGTCTCCGACAAATACGTCAATGGCAGTCAATGAGTTAATATTCATGAGTTAAAAGGCTCAACTATGTACAGACTAGATTTGCTGAGTGTGCATATCGGAGCTCCAGACTTACACTTTTGGATGGTTGCACTGGCGTGCTTTACTTTTTCATTTACATCTTAAATGTCTTTTAAATGGATTATTTTCCCAATAGCATGCATATGAAGAAATTAATGTTTTATTTGGTTGACTTTTGGATTTTTTTTTAAATTTCCATTCAATCATCACATGTTGATTAATGTAGCCAATAATGTGTTTCCCCACAATAAGTTGGTTTAATTTATTAGTTTAATTTTTTATGATAAAAAGTACACTTTTATTTGTGATCAGATTTCTCTCGTATGTGTTTGAATATACTTTATCAGAACTTATATTCTAGAATTAAATACTTAGTAACACTAAGTATATTTCTGTTAGATCTGGGAATTTTTTGTAATATGTATTTTTCTCTGTTATTATTGAACACAAAATAAATATTGACGAATAGCTTAGACTTTCCTCAACAGAAGTATATAAAATCCCAAAACTTGGAAACGGAAGCGATTGAATCACAGAAGTTGTATATTGTGCATTTACGACAGAGCTTCTTTATCTGGATGCTTTTTGCCGCTTAACTATTTTAGAAAGGCAAATATCGAGAGTGGAAGAAATGACAACATGCACTTTTATTTCATTTTTTGCATTACTTGTTTACATTGGTGCATTATTCATGACATTGATTCTATAAAAGATAACTTTCTTACTGTTCTCCAGGGTTTGAGGATCTCATCATAATTGTCTAGACTGTTTTGTCTGTGCTTCAACGCTCAGGGTCTTAAAGCATGCTCAATAATTGCACTCCAGTTTGTACTCAAAACTTCTTTGCTTTTCCCTTGGATTGAATTTTAATGTTTGACAATATACATGCACATAACGTCATATATACTGTGAAATTTCATAACACTTTTAAGCAACTTTTGTTAAAGTTAAACGCATCATTCTATCAATGTGCAGAAGCCAGTACTTCTGAAGGCCAAGCTACATGGCACCGTGGAAGCTGCTGATTGGAGGTCTCCATGCCTCCGCTCTGTATAATACACTTGCATTCTGTTGTTCGTGTTGTTCATGCTGTCTCTACCATCGACAATAAAACATGTCTTCTGTCTGAATTAAAGACGCGATCCCAGACTTTGTCATCTTCTTTAGGTGGTGGAGGATGCGGGCATTGTCTGTAACATCTACAGAACAGAAGACTTTTTTTTTACACAAAAGCAGCCAAAACTGAAAAACCTCAAGAGAAACCATCTGCACAGCCCCTGATTCCAGTCAGGCTGTGAGCTGCTGAGACATGGACAATACCATCGTCCTCTTTTGCATGGACATGATTTGGAACAATTGGATAACACAATTTGGACATAATTTGGAACAAAATTGGATTTCTGAATCTGGACACTAAAGCTGAAACGTGTGATTCAAAGACACGTCACAGAGGAATTCATGGCTCGACACAACAAATACAGCCTGAAGAAACCAACACGGAGAAGTGTTGTTTTCAAAGCAATATCTGGAACCACCATCGACTGATGAAGTTTGGTATTTTACTGAAGATTGTTGACAAGTTTTATGAAAGATCTGAACATGTTTTATGAGTTTGAGTTTTTTGAAGTATTCCGAGTACCGAGTGAAGTACCGAGTTTATGAGTTTTTGAAGTATTGAGTTATGATGTTATGTTGCTGTTTATCGATCCTGATGGTCACACGTGAATGTGTGACCAGAGGGGGGGAATGTGAGATTTCATAACACTTTTAAGCAACTTTTGTTATAGTTAAACTCATCATTCTATCAATGTGCAGAAGCCAGTACTTTTCCCTTGTTTTGTCTATCTGAAGGCCAAGCTACATGGCACTGTGGCAGCTGCTGATTGGAGGTCTCCATGCCTCCGCTCTGTATAATACACTTGCATTCTGTTGTTCGTGTTGTTCATGCTGTCTCTACCATCGACAATAAAACATGTTTTCTGTCTGAATTAAAGACGCGATCCCAGACTTTGTCATCTTCTTCAATACTTATTTTTCCTGTACTTGGTGTTGTATTTTTGCTTCTCCCTTTGCCGATACCGTTGTGCTAGGAGAGTTGAGCCTCCAGAGTTTCATCCAAATAAAGCTAAGACAGTGAACCAATAGAAATGGCAAAGAGAAGCATTGGAAATAAGCTGGAGAAGAGGCTGCAGTACAAACATGTACAGTATGCGGTGTTTGGAAAGAAGAAATATCAGGGTCATTTTGATTCAGTATCTGCTCTGACCCATTTGTAGCTTTATAAGTGACTGGACTGGAAGTGATAGATGTTTTTGTATTGCACAACAAAATGTAACTAATGGCAGCAGGAGTGGAGGCTCGCTGAGAGATGCTATCATTGGATTGAGTTTGATCATTTTTGACATGTCTGACATTTTCAACATTTCTCTTCTCCCTCTCAGTCAGAGATACTTTTACATCTCGTTCTGGACCCATTAAAGCCAAAAATGTGTCATCTACAGCCTTCAGTTAATTTATTTTGTACCTAATTTACATGAATTTCATAGAATACATTTTGTAATAAAGTAAAGTAATTTGTAAAGAAATCAATCCACATCCACAACATGGCTTCTTTATCTTATTAGCAAACTAACAAAACTAACCCCTGTGATCAATATTTTGTAATTTTTTTGATCCTTTGGTTGAGAGCTGATTTGTCCTCTCTTTTGTCTCTCTCCTGTTTAAGAAAGCTCTTCTTAAGTTGTGACAATGGCTAGAATTGCATGTGAATAGTGATAGAACAAAGCTGTTTTGAGTGCTATTCAGATGGAATTCATTACAAAGTCCCTTCTGTTAACTATTTAAATAAGTAATTTTCTTGTGTTTCCTGAGTAACTAGACCAACAAGTATAACTTTGCAAAGACTTTTTTGTTGAATAAATTGATAAGATAAGATAAGAGTTCCTTTATTCGTCGCACAGTAGCTATGTTTCTTAACTAGCATAACTGGCTGTAGATGCTGAAAATGCTTCAATACCAGTCAAAAAATATATACATGAAGTAGTGTAGAGTTATGTACTGTACATATAGTGCAGATAATTAAAGTGACATTGTTCAGTGGATATTCTGAAGTTGCAGTATTGCACAGTGCACATGATTTAAGAAATTGTACTCTACAAGTTCTGATTCGTAGGCCTGGCATAGCTTCTGTATCTTCCTATTTCAACAAACAAGGGCCTTGTTTATGTTTTTCTAGATGCGAAGGCCTGTCCGGACGGTGAATTCATGTGTGCGAACAGGAAGTGCTTGGCCGCCGTGTACCTGTGCGACGGAGACGATGACTGCGGAGATGGCAGCGATGAGCTCAAATGCACCTCTCCCAAAACCTGCGGCCCCAACCAGCTGAGGTGCAACAGCTCCGAGTGCGTCCCCCTGATGTGGAGCTGTGACGGAGACCCCGACTGTGCCGACAGTTCCGACGAGGGGCCAGAGAGGTGCGGTGGGGACGGGGTCCACTACCTCAACAATCGAAGAACCAACTGCACCGAGGGCGAGTTCCGATGCGCCAACGGAGAGTGTGTGCGGCTGAACTGGAAATGTGACGGAGACCCGGACTGCAAGGACAAGTCCGACGAAACAGACTGTCGTAAGTGCACAGTCCAGGCAGGTCCAGCTGAAGTCATTTAATTTGTAAATACACTTTCATCTAATCAGCTAAGCTACAAAAACACAAGTGTAAGCTTCACAAAATACTGACTCACAATCATAAATGCTGTTTCAATAAATGCTGTTATTATTTCAATTTTGGTTTTCTATTAAATTAGAAAGACCAGCCCCAACACCAGAACTTGATGCATATATTAAAACATAATGCAATGAATAACTACTGTCATACAATTTATTTATCATGAAGTAATGAAGGAGCCGAAGGACTTTGTCAAGATGTGAAATCTTCAAGGGAAATGCACTGTACTTTAAAAGGCTGTGCCAAAAATCCAAACTTTGCAATCTCAAAATATTGTGATATTGATTTTGAGTTGAACAATACAATATTTTGCATTTGTCATATAATTTTTTTCTTGTTTTATGTTGAATAAAAATAGAACAAAAATCTAATCAATGCAAGATCTGTCAATAAGGGGAAGGGAAAAACATGATTACCAATATTTTTTCCTCCCAGATCGCCCAGCCCTAGCACTCCTTTGAAAAAGAGGTTCTTAATTTCAATGGTACTTTCCTGGTAAAATAAAGGTTTGATAAAAAAATATACAATAGGCATCATTTTCATTCACTGTTCTCTTTATTGAACACATGCACTTTCCCCTGACTGCAAGAATGTGTAGAAGCTACAATTGACAATCTCATGTGTATTTCTCATGAAAAATGTATTTTTCCTCTTGTAGATTTTGATTTACTGATTGCATTACTTTTCAACTTTCCAGGGTTTAAATGTGTTGACAAATAATGCGCTATGGGCCCTATGACTAAACAGGTTTTGCTTATTAAATGCTCATGGCTTTGGAGCTGCTGTCTTCACTCTGTCTGTGAATCTGCGATTGTTGTGCCATTTCTTAACAAGACGCCCACCTCAAACACCCACAAGTGTCATTAATTTTGTTTCCAAAAGCAGAATCTGTCTTGTTAGGTTACAGAGAGGTGCAGATATTCTTTGCTTCATGTAGGTCCATGGGTTGCTATAAAGCAGCCATTTTATTATACCCATCTGAAATAACCAGAGCATGAAACATTGACTTATTTGCAAATCTCTAGATCCATCTTGTAGATTGTAGTTGGAGAAAATGAGTTTTTGACTGCGTATAGTATGTGTGTCTGTGGTTTGGCCATTTCATTGAACTGGTGCAGGCTCGATCTTATTACGAAGCCTCTGTCCTGTCTGCCCAGTGATAACACTAAATCATGCGGCCCTCAGCCATGTATATTGCCTTTTAGTGCAGTTTATAAGGGAGTTATATGGCGGCAGGGGCTGTGTTGATGAAAAGCTTCTCTGAGTAATGACATTCTCTCTTATGTCTGTGCTTCCTGGTGGTTGAGTGGTTAAAAGCAGCGGCCCATAGTATGCAAGCTCTGTGATGTCACTGTTAATTGGGGACAGAGCCAATAGCATGCATAATCTGTGACAAACGTTGTTACGCTTGTAATGATTCTACATTTGTAACACCCTTTTTGTGTTTTAATCTTAGCTCCGACAATTGAATGTCTTCTCTTACCATTCCATTATTTTAAACCAATCATATACACTGGACACCAGGAATTCCACATACACTGTGTAAAATGCAAATCTCACTTTCTGAATAAGTGACCATGTGATGAGTAAAGACAATTACATGAGTCTTTATGTAAACTTCCTGTCCCATTTGTTTAAAAAGATTTTTTTATCATATACTTTTTTGATCTGAAAATGCGAAAACTAGTGATAAAGCCAAACTGTTTTAAGAGCAAGAAACTAGTTACAATAATTAGGGTTTTTTTGTGGTTTGAAAGTTGGGTCCCCCAGCTTTAAGGAATACTCATTCATGTGGAATATGTTTTCATCAATAAAACTAGCAAAACAATAAACCACCACATGACATTGGCTCAGGATGACTCGACACAGAGAACCGTTCACTTTGTTTTTGTTCGCACCTGACAGCTTCACTCTTTCAGGTGCACCAAGCAGTTAGGAAACAATAGTTTTCCATTTTGGAGAATTTCATCGTGTCGCCTCTTGTCTCCACAGCGTTATTAACCTGTCGTCCCGATGAGTTCCAGTGCGGAGACGGCTCCTGTATCCACGGCACAAAACAGTGCAACAAGGTCCACGACTGTTTGGACCACAGCGATGAGTCCGGCTGTGTCAACGGTAAGGCCTTTCTCCAGGTTATAAGCCCTAGTTTCTGTCTGCAAATATATGCAATAAGATGGTTTATTTTGGATCCTTTTTATTTTATTTATGATGGCTTTCCTCCATCTCCAATGAATAATTTTCTGCAGGAAATTAAACCTTTCTACTGTGAAAATGTCATGCTTGAAAATCGTATTACATCTCTGGTTGCTGAATGTTTTTTGTGGCTTATGAGATGCATCCGTTCACAGACGCTAATTTCATTTATATTTTCTAGCTACAAAATGTGAAGGGCCCTTGAAGTTTCTTTGTAAGAATGGAGAGTGTATAGAAAGTTCCAAGGTGTGCGACTCGCATAAGGACTGCAAAGACCGATCGGACGAGCCCAAGAAAGAATGTGGTAAGATTCAGATTCACTTTGTTTGCCAATTACAGTTTGAATGAGATTATGAGAGAGACACACATGAACCCCTGCCCCTTCTATGTCAAAGCTCCTGTCTCAGTCCTGTAGTATGATGACACTAAGAGAAGGTTTGGTTCATCAAGTGAAATTATATTTCTGTTTTTGTAGTCTGCAATTTTCAAATCTGAAAAAAATAAAAAAAACTCCCTCTGGTGATAGAAAGAGATAGAGCAGATTGATTGCATTGTTAACCCTTTATCATTATTTCACCATATAATTTCTACTGAAGATATTATTTCACTTCTATAAGATGAGATGACAAAGTAAATATTTTCATTGTAATATTATAATATTATTAATATGTATATTTATATTAATAATGCATAATATTCTTTAAAACTGATTGGAATATGTGCATAAGTGACAACAAGGCATTTGTCAGCATTGCGTCATACCTTTTGTATTTAGCTGTACAATAACATGTACATCAACAATGCTAGTCTGCCCACATTCTGAGCTATTGTACACAAAGAATCAGAGAACATGTTTTTAAGTAGCTACAGTAATCACACCCACCAAGGAGATTGGTTTCTTTGATATAGGCTTGCCATGTACTCATAAGGGTGAGTTTATATCATATTCAGAGGCAATTATTATTTTTCTTTTGTTTTATATTTATTGTCCTGAGGGATGGGATTACTGAGTTTATGTGTGCCTGTCTCATTGCTCATACTGTAGCTAAACATCAAACAAATCTGGAATTTGTCACACTACAACAAAACAAACATATAACACACTGCATCAATTTTGAAGGGAAAGGTGACAGCTGGCAAGACCTCAAGCAGGAGAGGAAGCTACATGAACAAAATTGCAATTTCAGAAGTCAAATCTGTGCTTCCATCCCATGTGGTCTGCCCTCTGTCGCCAACTCCCCTTTTTACCTCAAGTCCTGTTCACAGCTCATTAAAACCTTGTTCAGGTCATTCAACCATTCACTTGCAAGATGTTTCCCACCTCGCAAAATACATGATCTCACTAAAATCTAATGAGATAAAATTAAATATTTTTAGTTTGCAAAATCTTGTTATTGCAAAAAATAATGGACATTTATTTACCATGTCGCCTTCCTGATAAGCAGTTGGATGCACAGTGTTGCCATGGTGAAGACAGAGGTGGCTAACTCAGACATGTGTGCTTGCTGTCTGTCCTTGGGTCTCCTTGAAAGCACTTTTTTCCCATAAAGGAGAGGTTTTCTTTGCTGTTTTCAAATCATAGGATTATGCTTCCTCTTGCAAGAAGAAACTTTCATTTGGCAACAGTCCTAATTTTTCCATAATTCGGACACTTGTAAAACTAAGAAAACTGGAGCACTGTGAGTGACATGCGGTAGCTTTTCCAGCAGAATTGGAAATGGGGATTTTAAAGTTGGCATTTGCGGCGCTCAGCATCTGAAAAGGAGCGCTGTTACGTGGCCATCTTTCCTGTTTATTTAAGTTCAATTTCAAAGCAGTTAAATCTGGAAGACTTTTCTTTGGCGCATCTGGTGTGGTAAACAAATCTATTATATACGTCTCAGTCACTTCTGTCCTCACATTCTTTGTCTGATGAATGTGCATCTTCACTAGCGATTGGTTTAATTATCCTCATTTCTGTTTTGTAAAATACTGAATACAATTTAAAACCTACAATTTGTTCAATAAAATACTGTTCTGCTCTATTTTACTACTTTACAGAATTAGTAGTCTGCCCGTCACACATCGACACATTTTAATAATTGCAAGTGTATGAAGAGAAACCATGGATGTGGGAGAAACACATTCATTTAAAAATGCTGTTTCTTTCTAGGGTTAAATGAGTGCATGATCAACAATGGTGGCTGCTCTCACGTGTGCATGGATCGACCAATCGGCTACGAGTGTCAGTGTCCTGCAGGTTATCAGTTGCTGGACAAGAAAACCTGTGGAGGTAAGTGGAGAAGTCAGAAGTCAGAATGAGGATGCACACATGTGAACTGGATCAGTTTAAATAGTGTTAAAGGTCACAAAATAACGCTTTGGTGAATTCAGCCATTGCACATATTCAACTCAATTCAATGTATTATTGTATAGCCCTAACACAACAGTAGTTATCTCTGAGAACTTTACAAAAACATTGAATTCACCAACACAGATTAGAGAATCAAACATTTCAAACAAAAGAAATACAATTCTAGAAAAACACATAAAGTGGCGGACCACCGATGTCTATAGATGTTGATAAATATCCATAAAGCTTGCCCATGTACTTGCTTCTATATTGAACGTTTCTTATAACCTTTTAGACCAGATTGTAAGGTGAAAGGAATACAACACAAAACCCATAATGGACATTTCATATTGAAAGGAATGAAAAGTGGTATAACTTTGTATTCTGGGTGACAGTGGCTCAGTTGGTAGAGCATTGGTCTTTGGACCTAATGGTCGTGGGTTTGATCCCATCACGATCCATGTTATCTGCCCCCGTTGAAACACCAAGGCTGTAACTTTGTTGAAGGAGCAGCCATCTTCCTGTGGACCCACCACCTGCAGGAGAATCAGTGAGGGACTGGTGCATTATGACTTGGGTGGCAGCTCTGATTGCCACCCCCCTGTTCCGGAAATTGATAAATAAAGGAATGAAAATGAAATAAAAAGTGGTAACAAATTATAACTGGATTATACAAAGGGGGAGTGAGTTCAAACACATTTACAAGTATAAGCCACAAACGAAGTGTCCTTCAAACACACAACCTCACACAGATCAAGAAGTCTGTACAGAACACCAGAACAGGGGCGTACAAGGCCGCAGAACGCAGTGCTCCAATCCCACTGAAGCAGGAAAGCCTTCTGGTAGGTGGAAACCAGCGCACCAGAGGAGGCAGGACCTGCAAGAACACAGAACACAGATCAGCAGCAGAGCATCAAATACAGCCCTGAGCCAGCGGCCGTATCACTTTGCACAGTAACATCATAAATTATTTCAAGAATTTATATGTGGTTTATTGTGTTTTTCCCTCACAGTAGAAAAATTATATCTTCTAAATTTTTGACCTCTCTTCAGGTGGTGAGTTGTCTATTGAGCACAGCAAGCAGAGTGCTCACACTTTTATGAGCTGTTTGCTGAACAAACTTTAGACAGGTCAAAGAGCGTCCAAAAGGGAAGAGATGCTTTTCACACTGCCAGACAAATCCTTCACGCCTTCACACCTTCTGTTGCTAAAACGCCCTCTTATTTCTGCAGACATTGACGAGTGTGAGAACCCAAATGCCTGCAGCCAGATCTGCATTAACTACAAGGGAGATTTCAAGTGTGAATGCTACGAAGGTTACGAGATGGATCCTGTCACTAAGACGTGTAAAGCTGAGGGTGAGTGCTGCACACAATACACACATTATAGCATTCATTTTTTCCACCATAACCATGAATGTGGTACTCACTTTATTTTCCTCACAAATATGTGTACATTTGCTAAACACTGAGAGAGTAGCATCCCCAGGACAAATGACCCACAGCTTTTTTTGGGAGCACCTGGCTGTGTCTCAGTGGGGACCAATTACACCACATTTAGTTTGCTCTGCTTTTCGTCTTGTTGACGGTAGTTGGAAGTAACACAGAGCAAGTGAACTGCTAAGAGGCCAATTAATTTTGTCTGACCTAAAACTGTGTCCAGCAGCTTTTATCTGGAGGATTAGAGGGGTCAGTTTCATGCCAACACACATTTTTCCTCTTATTTAATTATATATTTGGCAGAAAAAGCCTAATTTGCCACACTTGTCCCAGTGGATGTCAATTGTTGAGTCACTTTGCCTCAATTAGAATTAGCTGCTATAATTTTGAATCCAATACAGGGGGTGCCAATGCTGTGTGAATATTTTACAAGTTAAAGACCTGGAGATGGGTCATTAAGTTTTCCCAGAAGCATGGAAGGTTAGGGGAGGATTTCCTTTTGGGATAAGATAGGATCTCCTAATTTGAGAGTGGCTTAGCTGCTTGTATGTTGATTCGCTGTAGTGCATTATTCCTGCTTTCGCTATCAGAGTCTTTGTGTCCGTGGAGACATTAGATTAGAGATCTTTCGTTTTTCCTTATTTTACAATTTTAGAAGAGTTTGTAATTGTAATTCCTGGTCAGATAAAGTCACTATTCAAAAACAGTAAACAAAAGCTATTTATATAAGAATTTGCTGTTGTCTGTTACTGTCTGATATTTTTAAATTTCAAGTTTTTTTCACATGGATTGGTGGAAAAATATCCATAAAAGAATCCTATAATATGATATATATTAAATGATGATTAAATAAACAACATTAGACCTTTTGAACAAAGCAGTGCTAAAAACACATTAGTAAAACCTTTGTCTCTCTGCACAGCTCATGTTTCTGTTTATTCCTTTCGTTTGTCTGCTTCGAGACGTAATCATCGTCTGCTCACACAATCAGCAAATGACAATTATCTTTAAATGGCATTTAATTGGTCAATCTGCTTTTTAATCTTGTCACGAAATCTATCAGGATACAAGGGGGAAATTCTTTACTCCTTTATTTATCCCAATCTCTGAATTTGTTGGCAGCTGGAAAATGAACTGTATTTGCCGGCGCTAACAAGAGGCATAGACTTAATAATGCATGAAGACAGAGTGATCTATACCACAGTGACGCTCAGCACGTTTTAATCAAAGAGTATTGTATTCCGCAGGCAAAGGAGACCATCCAATTAGTTTAAAATTGCTTGAATTCAGTTTGATTAGTCGCAATCTATTGACACCTTTCGCTTCTCTTTTCGTTTCTCTAATGCAGTGAAGTTCCCGTCATAATTACTTTTAGAAGGAAATAAATATTGTGCTTTTGTAAACTGCTCTCTTGTTCCCAGGTAAAAGCCCGTATCTGCTGTTCACCAATCGCCATGAGATCAGGCGGATTGACCTGGGCAAGAGGGAGTACAGCCAAGTGGCGTCGACGCAGAAGAATGTGGTGGCTCTGGACCTGGATGTGGCCAATAACAGGGTGTTCTGGTGCGACCGCTTTCACAGGAAGATCTACAGGTAAACTCAGATGCGTGGGAATGTTTCTGCAACCATCGACCATCGACCCGACCCTATCAACTGTGCGGCATATTTAATGTGTATAGCATTAATACCACTGCATGATGGCTGAGTAGGCAGCACTCACAGCAAGAAGGTAGTGGGTTGATCACATGTCAAGGACGGGACTTTCTGTGTGGAGTTTGCATGGGTTTTCTCCTGTGTCTGGGTGGGTTTCCTCTGGGCGCTCCGTTTCTCCCACCACACAAAACAGTGCATCAGTATGAATATCACATACACACATGCACATTTGGAGGCAGCTTGTCATCAATTGGACCACAGGGTTGTAATAATTGTGACTGATTGACCTGGCTAACGCACAAAAAAGCAAGAAAACAAAAGAAAATCACCAAATTTCAAACATGTTACCAACTGTTAATGAATAAAAATAGTCATTTGCTGCCCAAGTATTTATTGATCCCCGCAGAATTGTCGGCCTTAAATGAGTTTTGCATACTTTGAATTATTAGTACAATACAGTAGTTTTTTTTATACACAAAATATGATTAATACTGCCTGCATAATAAAATGAAATCAGGTCAATTGGGTTCCAAAGTACTCTCCCACACAGTTATTTTGTGAGTCTTAAAAACCTATTTTCAAAGGCCAAATGGCCCCACATTAACACAGAGTACACTTGTTCTAACGCACTCTCACTTACCCCATTGTCCTCTCAAATGTGTCCTTTCCCCTGAGTGCCCTCTAATTAGAGCAGCATGTTCTCTCTACAAAATGGATTTTACCAAAAATGGAGAGACTCAAAGTTGTAATTCCTGTTAACGTTGGACCTCTGCTTGGCCCCGCTCTCTCCCCTTCAGCTGGGGTGGAGTCATTAGCAGAGTCCAGGGCAGTGCTGACATGGCAAGCTTAAATAAATAAAGATAAGCACAAAAAAAAAGTCATGTAGAGCAGAATAAATATGGTTGGTGGCACAGATCCTCCTAGAGAACCTGACATCCTAGCTTTCTCTATTTTGTTTTGCTCCACAAAGGAAAATGTCTCGTTTGTCTTGTCGACGTTGTCATCTTTTTCAAAATGTACATAAACTGTCAAAACTGTGCACTACTCTGACTTTAAGAATGTTGTGAGAAAAGATAAATAATGTTAGCATTTATATATATTTTTTGAATGTTTTATGTTTTGGGAATTGTGTTTGAGGTATCACTTCTAATGTTTTTCATTTTTACTCAAAAGAAGAACTTAACACGACAGAATAAGATTTTTTAAACAAACAGGATATTGAAAATTGTATTTGAAAGATTGCCTCTGCACCCGCGGCACACACACGACGAGGCTCTTAAGTTAAACCACTTTTTTTTGTTAATTATGGAAGATCTGTCTGATTCGTCTTACCACTGAAATCAAATGGGTTTATTTTTGCATCGTCCAAAATCTCAACAGCAGTCCTCTCGATAAGATACTAATGAGTGAGTAATTTCAATAATGTAGTTTTAATATATTTTAAAACATTTCAGTTTAAAACCTAAAAGTGGACCATTTTCCCTCAAAATAGAAAACCATACTCTAAAGTAAAATAAAAACCATTGCAGCGTTTGAAAAAGTGAAGCTGTGATCAAAAAAGAGTGAATAATTTGCGATCAGAAACTGTGCTGTTTCTGTTTTAGAAACCATTATGTTTAAATGCACTCTGCGTAGACATTATGACCACACACTGTTCTTTCAATGAGACTCCACAAACAGGAAATGGCATTTTATATTTAAAAAGAAATAACATCAATTATGGATGTATCATTCATCATGGTATCCTCAGAGTTGTGTGTGTTTAAAAAACATGTTTTTATTGTTTTATTGCAGAAAATAAACTTTACATTAGAACATTGTTCCCCAATCTTTTTCATGGAAAACAATCTCATGTCACTTCACAGATAATATTCTTTTTCTTGTCTAATCAGCACAAAGAAAAAAGTTGTAATTCTTTCAACAACTATAAGATTTATTTTGACCGATTAAATGATATTGGATAATTTCCAAAGGTACACCAAAACAAGATTTCAAGGCCCACTAATGTGCCACGCACACTGGGAAGAAAACACGCCATTCAACAATTACCAAGATAGCACCAGCACCCCGGATGAAAGAAAAGCAAATACCATGAATAACAAAAGATAAAACATATGTTTTCTTTTATTTATTCATTAACGGAACATAATATAAGTTAGGTAGTCCAGCTTTAACCGGCGTGCAAGTAGTCGGTAGTGTGCCATTAACTGTGATCTGAAAAGTTAGTGAGGTGTACCACCACAAAGACTGCTGTGATGAGAGCTAAAACTCAATTACTGTGTGACTTAAACTCAAGCGTTACTTTATATGGTTTGCTAATCTAATGTGTATATTGCTAATGTCCTGAATAAATCTTTTATGTCAGTATGTTATCTGCCATCTGTAAAGTGTGTTCTCCCCCTCTTCGCACCGTCTGGTTATAGCTGCATTTTTTCTTTTTCTCTTTCCTCCAGCGCCTTCATCCATGAGGCCAGCGACCCATCCCAGCAGGTGCCTCTGGTGGACTCTCTGCTGCAGACCCCCGTGGGCCTGGCGCTGGACTGGCTCCAACACAATCTGTACTGGACGGATTCCGGGGACAAGTCCATCTCTGTGGCCTCAGTGGACGGAACCAAGAGACGAGTCCTGATCAACAGTGACCTGAGCGAGCCGCGTGCGATCGCCCTGGACCCTCACCACGGGTACAAACGGAGCATGGAATATGACCAATATCATTTTTAATATCAGTCTGATAACCCACTGTTTCCCAAAGAGGGGTACCAATTTAAGGAAGACCTTTTTGTAAAGAATTGGTCATATAAAACCATTTATTGCTATATGAAATGAACAGGTCTAAACAAAAAATGTATTCACTGTTTTCATTTCAGTGAGCAATTCAATAATTTTTTCATTATATGATATTTAGGAACACGTGTTTTAGAGTTGCATAATAATATATCTTCTTTCAAGTGGCCTTTCCTTAGAGTGGTGCTGAATGAACAGTTCCATCTCTTTTTTGTTGATTTCTTTATATTTTCATGAGGTGACATGAAAATGACAGAAATGAAAAGCACTCTATGACAGCTAATGTTTTGAAATTTTCCCTTTAACTTTGTGTTTTAGCTTCATGTACTGGTCTGTCTGGGGGACGCAAGCCAAGATTGAGAAAGCTGGGATGAACGGTGTGGACCGACAGGTGCTGGTGGCGGATAACATCGAATGGCCCAATGGAATCACATTAGGTAAGTCTACAGATCTTCAATCTCCCACAAGTTACTTAAAATGTAATGAGAGATTGCTTTGGTGTTTCACTGTCATCCTCTTTGAAACCTCAGAGTTGGACACAGATGGGAGTTGAGGATTTAATAGTGAGAATCTGACATTTTAAATAGTAATCAATATCACCTAAAGGGATTTGTTGATCAGAGTGCGGGAGTGCTTACTGCAAAGACAATCAATTTCCACTGAGCTTAGGGACGTCTTGTGAGCGTGTGTGTGGTAATATGTGTGTGTGTGTTTCCTCAGACGTGGCCAACAGCCGCTTGTACTGGGTGGACTCCAAACTCCACCACGTCTCCAGTGTGGATCTGAACGGAGCGCACCGAAGGACGCACCTGTCATCAGCAGAAAGACTGGGACACCCCTACGCCCTGGCAGTGTTTGAGGTCAGTTTGTCTTGTTTTGTTTTATTTAACCAATGTTTGGACATTTATCAACATTTATGAACAATGGTTATCTGCCCCTTATTGAGAAATGACCTGTGTGTTATCATTGCATTTCTTGTGTTCAAACTGTTTGATTCTCTGATCTGTGTTGGCAAATTTGACAGTTTTCTAAAGTCCTCCAAGATAATTACTGTGATTTTCAATTAATTGAAATGACAAATTAGTCTGCAACTGACCAGACACATGCAAGTTATTGTTATTCTCAACTCACAAAGGAAATAAACAAAAACATCTACGTCCTAAACAACAGTGATCTGACATGTAGACGTCCTCACATTGCCGTACAAAAGCACAGATAACCACAAGTGCACACTCACACGGTCACATGATTTACAAATGGCTATAACTTTGGTTTGATTTGAGGCATAACTTGAGTCTTAATGTGAACAGAAGCTGAAAGGATTTTGATAAAGTTAATGTTTGTCAGATGATGCATGACAGTGAACGCTTTTGATTTATTCATATAATATAAACTGCTCCACGCTTCACAGGTCGTACTTGACGTTGGTTTTGAGTTTGTTGACTTGGCCTTGGTGACTCAGTGGCACAGGTCTGACCATCTCAAGTGGAAACACACAATGTGCAAAAGTTCAACTTGTTCACATGTTTTTGTGAACACGTGAGGAAACGCTTTTCCCATATAAATCTTTTTGAAACTGGTTGAAAAGGGATAACTCCTCCTGCATTAAACATGTGGGCATCGATCTGTGGTTGCTGGCTCCCTGTGACTCTTACAGTACAAGGTGACCTTCGTGTTCACATCCTGTTCTACATGCAGCAGGATAATCTTATTGAGCTCAGATTGACGTCTTCTGCCAGACAACGTCTTCTTTTCCCCACACTGTAGTCGTGGCACAGATAAACAAGGTTTTGAGTCCTGTTGTCTCACCACTTAGTCACAATTTCTCTGTTGTTTTTCAAATATGCAGCAAAAATGTCAGCTTCCAAATGTTATTGTTTTTCATGAATAAATGTATGAGTGAATAATAATTCAGTGTGCTCCAAAAGTCCATCACAGCTTAGTGCTTGTGAGTGAACAGACTATCTCCATTTTCTTCAAATATTATCTCTTAGTTTGTAACTTCTATCACATAATGTGCATATATACACTTGATTCATTATTTTCATCTCTCCTCCATACTGTGATAAAGAGCACGGAGGAACCGTGCAGTGGACTTTAATTCTGTGATTATTGTACTGTATATTTGAAATGACAAAGAAGAACTCCACAACAAAAACAATATACATCTACATATGTTTCCTGTTCTCAGGTCACCAAATGAACCAACTTATCAGGCTAAATAAGGGCTAAGGGCTACATCAGGCAACTAATATACAGTGACAGTCTGTTCTTGTATAATGTGCACCCAGAGACTGTGTAAGAAAACCAAACCACAGATACTATGTTTAGATTAATGGTAATGCAGAGTACATGTAACAATCTAATACTTCCAGAAATAATTTTTCCATTTTTGATGTTCGATGCTAGAAAGCTTAGTATCTACAATTACAGAATGTGTAAATAACTCTAAATTCAACTGGCCAGTCACATTTCATAACAAAGTCAGATTTACAGACAACACAGTGGTACAGTGATCACAGCAAGAAGGTCGTGGGTTCAATTCCACCTCTAGGCCTTTCTGTGTGGAGTTTGAAAGTTCTCCCTGTGTCTGCTTAGGTTTCCTCCGGGTGCTCTGGTTTCCCCTACCACTTTTCAGTCACTTGTACAATTTTACACATTGTTACAGAACAGTACATTTCCAGTAAAAAGAAAGACTAAAAAGGAGTAGGCCGAAACGAATGCTTATTTTGCCATTTCTACCATTTTCACAAGTCCAATTAGTATAAGTGAATGTATACAATAGGAACGCGCTTAGTGACTCTGGTCTGTGAAAAGCACTATATAAATAAAGATTAGTTATTTACTTATGGTCGAACCGTTTGAAATGTATTTCTTTCCTCATTTGCTCTCAGGATCGAGTATACTGGACTGACCGGGACAGAGCTGCAGTCTTCATGGCCAACAGGCTCACAGGGCAGGACATCCACACGCTGGCAGAAAACCTCAATGACCCTCACGACATCGTGGTCTTCCACCAGCTCCGCCAGCCGCCAGGTTTGTAGCTTTTGTGGTCCTTTGTGAATCACTTTGTTCTGAGGCGTGTGAAAGTCACATCTCTAAGAACAAGCTTAGCTCCTCTGTGGATTCAAGTGAAGACTGGGCCATGCATTAATGATGAAGCTTCCCGCCAAAGCGGTTAAAGCATCAAAGTAATCAGAACATGAAGAACTTGCACCAATCATACCATTCTATAATTTTTTTTTTGTCCTTTTGAAATCTTCTAATCTGACTTTTTATTATTAATGTCTTCAAGTTCAAAACTTCTTACAATTTACATTGATTTGAACGAATGTCTTCCTTATGCTTTTAACATGACAAGACATTAACATAACCAGTAAGGACTGGTTATGTAATCTAAACATTTTATAAACCAACGGAATCTATTCACAGCTCTCATTTAATCCCATGAGCAGATTCTCCATGTCTGTATATTTGATTTGTTACAGGTCCAGACAGCTGTAATCTCGGCAGTGTGGCGAATGGAGGCTGTGAATACCTGTGTTTAAAGGCTCCACAGATTACAGAGCACTCGCCTAAGTACACCTGCGCCTGCCCTGACGGACAGGACCTGGGCCCGGACATGAGGGGCTGTGTGCCTGGTGAGTCCCATCCAATATCAACACTATTTATAGCTTGCTACAGCTAACTTACTAAAACTAACTTACCCTGGAAATCTAAAACGTATTCATATAAGAAACAGATCTTTCTACTGTTGCGGATCATTGCCAGTGATTTAGAGTAGAAAAGAGGGTGGAGTGGCCAGATTTTTGGATGGCTATTTCTACTGAATCAGTTAATGAGCCGTGGGAAAGATAAGTTATTATCTTAAATTAACATTATAACTCATAATGTTGTATTCTTGTTTTTACTTATGTAAGATTATACGGCTTTGTTCCAACAGAACACACAAAATAAACTTCAGTCCACTTTTATGAATGCTGAAAGGTTTATTTAATGAGTGCAAATAAAATAGTTTCCAAAGGTTTTCCCGTGGCTAGGCTAGCAACTTCTAAACTAGAACTCTCTTGAACTACATGAAAACTGAACAAAGAATTCTGAACATCAGCGGTGAGTGACCCATACATGAACTTAACCTAAATCATAATTCGATCCTCTGCAAATGTGTCCTAAAATGTCCCGGAATCTACTTCCAGGTTTATCGCAATCGCTTTTTCTCGCATTAAAACAGTATTTTTGTCATGAAAACCTTAACAGATACTTCTGAAAACCTCTGTGCATGTGTATTAAGAATGTATATGTATAATGTATTCTCCGATTGACATTTAAATCTGTTGATTGATTGGTATTTGCGTTTATTGAGCGTGGCTAGCTCCGATAGCGACCAAGTGGCCGGAACTACTTGCGGAGTAATCCACACATCTGAATTACAAGCAGAGTGTGCGTTGCCATGGGCAGCGGCCATTGTTGTTTTGAGAGGTCAGTTATAAAGAAATAATGACCGGTAGAACGTTTTGAAATTACATTCAAATCAATGCGTTTTACTGCTGCTGTGAGGAGACGTGTAAAAAACAAATATATTCAAGTCTTGAACAGTGATTGTATCTTTCCAATCAGGAGCACCAAGAAGAGTAACTCCAACATTGTCCGTTGAACCATTGTCTGGCACAGCCACAGCTGCAGGAGCAGATGTGCCCTCTCCGTCTGGTGGATTCTCACAGGCTGACACTGCCTCCCACCTCACCACAGCGCCCCCTGCGTCTCTGGAGCCCCTCAGCCCTTTCCCGTCCCTGAAGCCCGTCCCCTCAGAAGAGTCAAAGGCCCTGGGCTCACACTCCACGGCCACCGCCATGGTCATGCCCACCACCACCGCAGGAGACAGCAGTGTATCTCAGCACTGTGAGTTACTTTTTTGATAAACACACAGTATACATTCATGTGTCCCTATAAACAATATCCTTGTGGAAAGTAGCGTGTGTTTTGAATGGTGAGTGTAGGTGACACTGGAGTCTAATGAGGCGTATGAGGGAGGTGGGGAACGCCAGGCCTCTGTCAAGGTCACTGCCGGCAGTAATGCAGCAAATATCATTGGCTCATCAGAGGGATCCATTTTTGTTCAAAGATTTCTGACACAGAGGCTCCTCACTCGTTTTTCATTTCATCTTTCATGAAATGCCATGCTTTAAAACAGCTCTCTTATCTTCAGTTGAGTGTCTCACACACTGTCAGTCCTGTTCGCATCAGTGGATCCTCATGCTAATGCTGATCTGTGATCTGCTCTCTACAGCTGGAAGTGAGCATTTCCTCCTGGGCGAAAACCTGACAGTTGCAGTTCTAGGAGTGGTCATCCCCATTGGTAAGTGTGCTCTTTGTGAATGTGTGTCCAGAGTAAAGCTGCAGTCAGCTGTTGCCCATGGCCCTAGTGTTTGTATCGCTCTGACCCTCTGCAGCTCAGAGAAGCCTGGCCCGCAGCTCTTCTCTGACTTTGACATCACTGCATTATTCAGCCACACTGTGCGGCTGCTGTGTCGAGTTTGCTGGAGCCCTAGAGCCACCCGATCAGTAGAACTATTTTTTTCCCAACAATAGACATAAATGTCATGTTACAGATGATCACATATTTCCCTGGCTTCCGTATCATTTTTTTATTCCAATCTATCAGCCTCATATTTTAGCCATTTTTTAACATCTGCCCCTCGACTAAAGACACTTACTTTCCTTGTTAATGTGTCTTTGTGTTAAACACCTGCAGTTCCTATCGTGGCCACTGTGGTGTTTGGGCTGGTCTGCGCTGGCATCTACATGGTCTGGAGAAACTATCGCCGCAACTCCACCAAGAGTATGAACTTTGATAACCCTGTGTATCGTAAGACGACCGGTGAAGGAGAAGAGGATGAGATCCACATCGGTCGGACTGACGCCATGGCGCATCACGCACACCATCATCCTTACCCCCAGGGCGTCAGCATGGGAGTGGTGGGAGCAGGCGGAGGAACATGCCCACAGTTCATAGCGCTGCCTCTGGGGGGCAGTATGCCTGACCCAGGAACTCACTGGTACACAGAGCAGCCCATGTTAACCACCGCTAAGTGAAGCCGCGCTTCTCTAAGGAAGATGGCAGCGGAGGCACACGCACATGCTGAACTTGAAGAACGCCAAGGGAACAACACCTGCAGCCATTTAGAGCCATGACAGATGCAAATTTCCACAAAAACAACAGTGCAATTTTTGATTGCTTTCTCCATTAGTGGTGGTCTGTTCACCACTTCTACTATAGTTTAATACACTCTTTTATTTCTAACCATTCAAAAATGAATATTTCACTCGTTGCAGATTAAATTCCGTTGTTTGGTTGTGTGGTAATGTGAAGTGTATGCTGCGTGTGTATTTGTGACAGTTCATAAAAGTGTCTTTTATTGTTGTTTGTGTGGGTTTGTTTACGCCTGCTGAGCCACGGGGCTCCATGAGGTAGTGTTCATTCAACAATCTGAGAGAACTTTCCATTTTAATCTTTGGGAATTATCTCTTCAGAAGACTTTATTTTATATTGCAAATCAGTTTTTATTTTTCCCATGGACTGTTTTTTTTTTTTTTTTACATCCTGTTTAAACACTTGAATGACTGCTGCTTTGAAAGTGAATATGTCTAATTATTTTCATAGTGGGATTTGGAATGAGCAATACCCACAGAGTTATTTGCTTGCATCATAGTTTGATCACTAGTCTTTCACTGTGACAAACTACACCTGGGAGACAGGAGCCAGTTCTCTGCAGACAGCTCATCAGTGACATCACTGACATGTGTTGTACCTCATTACAGGGGATGTGGGGGTCTCCTCCTCACAACTATAAACCATGTGCACTGGTTCTAATGGACAGCTTTTCTGTTTAGTGACTAATCAAATACCATGTTCACATCAAGAACATTATCAACAATTGCATTTATTTCCTGCTCAAAATGTAATATTGAATTTAGGGACATTTATAATTAAGCTAAAATTTCTCTGGAAAATAAAGTAAGAAGAGCAAACAGAACCCAGCACCTAATTTACAAAAAATATTGTTGAGATCCATCCGGTGAGTATGGTTGTCAAAAGTATCAAAAATCAGATATTAAAAAATCTATAAAACTAGTGTACTAAAAACATTACCTTTACACAGGAAATAATGTGGGATACCACATATTCCATTTTAAAATGTACTTTTATATTAGAAAAAATATCATTTTGGATAACACCGCAAATATTTATAAATTAGCTTCTTAATTTGTAAAACATACTATAATTTAAAAAAAAAAAAAATGTATAAAAATATCTATAGAAGATCTTCTGATGTAGTTTACAAAATTGTTCCTGAAGTTATTTTTAGATCCATTCACGCTAATATGACCACCCCTTCTATCCAAGAGCTCCTTTTTCTGTTTTCTGCCTTTTAAAACCAAAGTATCGCCCATGAATTCTCCTGTGAAAGTATGTTCTTCACAATCACAACACTGTGTTTGCCACTGGTAATTTTCAAACATGGAAACATAAAACCAAAATAAATTCCACCCTCTGGTGGTAGCAAAGGGAGTCCCAAGCCTTTTATACCCTTTATACTTGTTTCACCATTTACTTTCTCCTGAATATATATGTCACATCCTAAAACATATCAAGTAAATAGTCTCAATATAATGTTGAAAAGTCAACAATAATATTTCTTCTTTAAACAAGACTAATAAACTGTGATACCTGATTTCTGATACTTTTGCCAATCGTACGTACATGTTTTAAAAGTGAGTGCACGTGTTTGGAGTTTGTGGTCGCTGCATGTGAGGCCTCTGTCACATCTGAAGCTGTCGCCTGCTCTGTGTTGCACAACCCTCGGAGAATGCCTTCTGTGGAGCTGCATGTTTCTGAATGATCTGTGACTGAACGACTGTGAGTGACGGGTGAAAGCTTTGAGGACAATTTTACACTCATCAATTTGTAAATACATTTTCATAAATTTTTGATAATGTAATATACGGTTATGTAAAAGAGGTTGTACATAAGATTTTAGATAAAGTCTTGACGGAAAATTAATTTATTTGTATAAAGGACACTGTTATTAAATTATGCTGGATTTTTGAAAGTGGTTTGTGTTGGTTCTTGCTGTGAGTATTTTTTAATTCAGGTATTGTTGACCCTTTTAAAACTGTGTATTTATGACCAAAAGCTTCAGTGTTCATACATGTTTGTTTTTGTGCCTTTTGTTTCATTTTTACCCTTTTATTTCTTCACAATATGAAAGACAGACCACTGTAAAGTATCGCAAGACCAAACTGATTTCATTTTCTTATTTTTCTGTAATTATTACTTTGGATAACTCTATATATTGATATATAAAGATGACAAAAATCTTTGTGTGGATGTGTTTTATTATTCATTTTTTAAATAAATGGTAGTTGTGGTAGAAAACAATTCCATTAACTCGCACAACTTGCTAAAGTAATTCATCTTTCATTGTTATTATCTTTAGGGAGACTATGTACACCTGTCCAGGGAAGGCAGATGAAAAATAGCCTTCATAAAGTTACACTCAAAGTGAAATTAATTGCACATGTTGGAAGATAGCTTTATGGAACAGTGCAGCTTTTTACAGTGGTGAGCAACCATGGTCTGGGTGCAGTTAGAAGCTCATAGAACATCTATCTATTTAACACTGCACATAGTATGCATTTACACTAGTTGTAGGCCTTTGAATAACATTAAATATTCAACAGATTATTGTAATTTATATCTTTTTGAGGATTGAGCTACCTGGTTTGAGACCCTTGCCCTAGATACAAGAGGATGTTATATACAAATTGCTGTGATTATTTTGTGTCCATGCAGAAGAAGGCTTTTCTCTCTGAAGCTGCCTGCGTCATATCTCCCAGGAGGCATGAGCTCAATGCCAAAAGACACAGTTCTTTGGCTAGTTGGGCCTTTCCAGCCACTGTACATCCAGGACTCAAACTTCATCCTGAAGAACTATAATAAAGTACTTTTTATACTTCCAAGAACAAAAGGTCAAAAGTTCTGGTAGATTTCTGCAGCCTATTTCAACTACATAATCAGCACCATCTAGTGGCACATTCCATACATTTCAGACCAGACTTCAGTCCAAAGCTCTTCTTTATTGAACGTACCATGCAAAAAATACAAACTTATTTTCACCCCAAAAACAGTTTTGCGAAAGTGTAGCGCTGCAACATGAAGATCCTTTGTTTAAAATAAGTATTATTTACAAAGACTTCATACTCTGTCACAACCACAATGCATATTCCATAATAGAACTAAAATAATGTACTGTATCAATAAATTATGTTTCCATTACACATGTTGTTGCAAAACATCAAACTAGAAGTAAGACCGGGACTTTACAGTATATACAGATATTTCATGTTTACGGAATAGGACAGCTCATATTTTCCACATTGCCATTTTCCAAGGTCAAAGAATGATTGTACACCTACACACGTCATGCTCTTCTTGCACTTAAAGCGCTCTGGCTTTTGCGTGGGCTTTCAGCAGAGCGGCGGTATCACTGTGGGACCCCTGCGTGGCGATGGACAAAGCCGTGCGGCCGTGCTGTAAGGGACAAAAGGGAGCCATCAGCCAACACACATTAAATCCTAATTCATTTTACCACCACTATACTTAAGTTACTGCCAACCCCTCTATGAATGCTGCAACTACAATGACTGCGAAAGTGAAATTAATGTTTTACAAATGTATCTAATTGTTATTTAATTCGCACAATTAACCTTTAGTTAGTCCCAAGCCATTAGTCAAGCCACAGTAGCTCAGTTGGTAGAGCAATGGTCTTTGGACCTAATGGTCGTGGGTTCGATCCCACTACGACCCATGTCAACTGCTCCCACTGATGTCTGCTCTCGTTGTGTCCCTGGGCAAGACACTTAACCCAAATGTGCCTGAAGTCCCCGCTGAAAGACCAAGGCTGCATCTGTGTCGAAGGAGCAGCCATCTTCCCGTGGACCCACCACCTGCAGGAAGAGCAGCAAGGGACTGGTGCTGTGTGAATTGGGTGGCAGTTCTGATTGCCACCCCCCTGACCCAGAAATGGAAAATAAAGGGATGTAAATGAAAAAATGAAATGAAATAGTCCCAAGCCAAGGTCATAATTATCTTGTTCTTGATATAGATGCATCCTCCACTGGCAGAGTCTCAGTGCCTTCATTTATTTTGAAGGCCCTATTCTTCCAAAACAATCCGACAGTCTTCCCACGTTCACACAGCACGAGTCCAAACGTTGTAGGTTAAGACGGATTGCGATGCCTTCAGAAAAAATAATTTGCTGCCACTAACAGGATTCAACATGACAAATATAGCTGGGCATGTCGCATTTCTTAATCTTCTAAGCAGAGCTACTTGTAGAATTGTGTGCCTCGCTCTCCCCATTCAGATTAGCAATAATAATAATAATGTTACTGAGGCTGATCTCCCCCTCCTGCAGCGTCACCTTGTCGGCCAGGCTGAGGTCACACTGGCTGCGTTCTAAGAGCAGCCGGGCGATGTGCGTGTGGCCCCTCTCGGCGGCAAACATCAGCGCTGTCGTTCCCTCTTTGTCTTGGATGTTGGCGTCCGCTCCACAGCTCAGCAGCAGCCGCACCATCACCACTCGCCCGTGCCTCACCGCCAAGTGCAGCGCTGTCAGGCCCGTCTGCAAAACAAGAAGGCGTTATATTAAATCATTATTGTTATCATTATTATTATACCACTAACCTTCCTGCTGCTGTCAGACTGTACAACAAACAATGAAGACTAATGAACACTGTCGACCTGACCTCACATGTCATGCATCTGTGCAATATCTTGAACTAATGTCAAAATGTGCAATATGGACCACAAGTGTCCACTTTACTTTTCTAACATGTACAGATGTAAATATAATGTATTACTTGCACTAGAATATACAGTACTTTATACTTTATTCTTATTATGCCAAAGGTAGAGTAAGTAATGTGTATTTGTAGAGCGCATTTTACAGACCGAGATTACCCAAAGCAATTATTTACAATGTTCAGAGTTCAGATATTGTTTCAATTATTCCACACACGGTTATGACGGAAGCGAGTCGCTGAACACACTGGAGCATCAGCCCCAATCAACACCATCCATTCACTCTCTCATTTATATTCATACCTTTTGTGCAGGTTTTTTTTAGTTGTAGGGGAAACCAGAGCACCCAGAGGAAACCTACGCAGACACAGGGAGAACATGCAAACTCCACTCAGAAAGCCCCTGTTCCGACCAGGATTCGAACCCAGAACCTTCTTGCTGAGAAGCAAGAGTGCTATCCACTCAGCGACCGTGCTGCACGAGACTTTTTGCACTAATTATGCTTTATACTTGTTTCTTCTTTATGCTAGAGTTAAGAGATTTGAATTTGTTTTTATTTAGTATAAAGTGATTGCTAATTTATCTTGTGCTGTGTGTTTTGTACCTGGTGATGAAATGACGATTAATTCTCCCCACTGTGGGACAAAATTTATTTCATTTTAATTTAATTATATCATATGGTTTGTAGCAATTTATTGGTCAAGAGGAGAAAAAGTAGGTTATAAAGTAGGTGTCTGAAACTATCCATAGATTTGATTATTTTGGCCATATATAGTACTGGAGAATGATACAAACATTTCCACATATGGTTGTATGAAGCCATATATTGTCAAATAAACATATTTTCTATTTCATAATACAGTATGACATGATCGAGCCGATCTGTAGAAAGCTCAAATGCGCAGTTCATGCAGTTCAAGAATTTACTAGAACTGGGGCATTTTCCAAAAAGAATGGGCAGCTTTACCATCAGTGAGGAGCAAGAGCCTCACCATGACGACCGCAATGAGCTCCAAGCGGTCAAAGATGTTAAAGGGAAATTACACGCTATTGAGAAGTGGGGGATGGAAACTTCTGATCAGGGTCAGGAGATTAGTTTCTGCCGTTATTATAAGTAGAAATAAGAACAAAATGAGAAGAAATGGCCTTACAACACCACTAACTAACAGTATTTATAATGAATGAATGATATCTTTATTAGTCTCACAATGCGGAAAATACAGTACTTGTGTAATCATTTATCATGGCCAAAATAAATTTGATTTGCAAAAAACAGATTGCTCTGATTGCAAATTAGTCAAAAGGTTGCATTCATTTCGTTACAGTCTTCAAGATGTTTTGTTATTGGCAGTAAATATGAAAAGACTTGCTCAAGAAGAGGTGAAACTGTATTTGTATGGCTCTAAAATAGATCTGGCTTTTCACAAAACGACTCAGTAATGGGATGTTTAAAACCTTTCCGATATTTTTCTCATGGCCCTCCCTCATCTGTTTGTGCAAATGAAATATTCAATTGTACATTTCTGGGCCTGCACAGTCTGCAAGCACAACTATATACTGTGATAATGTACAATGGTATAATAAGTATTTGTATATGAATGATTTGCTAGAACATTCTATAAAGTGACATTTGATAGTTCATGTTTGACGTACATTGAACTCCAAAGATATAAACACTCAACTCAACTGTGTGTAAAGAAGATGGAGTATGTCCTTGTCCACATCGGCGCTCCTCTGACCTGAAAGAGTAGTTTGGGGACTGGTGGTTACCTGGCTGGACTTGATGTTGGTGCTGCCCATTTCCATCAGTTTACGGACCACCTCCATGCCACAGGGGCTGTCAGGGGCGGTGAGCGAGGCCAGCATCATAGCAGTGTATCCAGCATTGTTCTGGAGGTTCACGTCGGCCACACCTGCGTTATAACAAGAAATCTTTATTCATACAGTGCATTTTTACAGACCAAGGTCACCCAAAGCACTCTACAATGTTCAGAGTCCAGATATTGATTTCATTCTTTCCACTCGGTGATGACAGAAGCCAGACTGGTGCATTAAAGCCCCAATCAACACCATCCATTCACTCACTCGTTACATCAGGCATGTCCAAACTCAGGCCCGCGGGCCAATTGCGGTCCTCTGTGCATTTTATGTGGCCCTCTGCTGCTAACACAAAGTCGCCATTGAGGCACTTTGACAGTGTCATCCAACAAACTTCAGCTCCCCCAATAGTCACTCTATACCTTGTTGTAAATCTCAGACCGTCTAGAATCCAGTCGTTGCCTTTATTGTCACAACATTCCAAATAAAATGCAGCTGTGGTGTGAATCACTAAGGACGTATCATAAGCCATTTTAAATTCCAGAATCCAGTCAATCCAGCTCGAATCCAGTTTTTTAAATCCAGGTTGTCGGCCCCAGGTAAAGGCTGATGAACTAAAGTTTTATCCAAACTTTTTAGCTTGAGGGCCATGCTAAAAAAGTTTGTACACCCCTGTGTTACATTCATACTTATTGTGCAAGTGACTTTAGTGGTAGGGGAAACAGGAGCACCCTGAGAAAACCTACTCACACACGGGGAGAACATGCAAACTCGAAAAGATAGATAGATCAAGAAATACAGTACAGTACATACATTTCATTGCAACATACTGTTTCTAGACTTTTACTGTGTGAACTGACCGGTGTCCAAGAGCACGCTGACAATGCTGTAGTTGCAGTGGGAGACGCTGTAATGCAGGACCGTGTTGGCGTTGTCGTCGGCCATGTTGATCAGGAAGGCCATGAGCGACGGAGCATTTCTCTTCACTTCTTTCACGTGAGCGACCACAGAGCTCACTTTAGAGCTCTCCTCTGCTGCTGCACCAAACCAGCTCTGAAACAGCACCACCAAAGCTTTCTTCTACAAACAGAGACCACGGCAGAGGCAAATTTCCAATATTAGGCAAGGCAAGGCAAGTTTATTTGTAAAGCACAATTCATACACAAGGCAACTCAAAGTGCTGAACAGAATAAAATGGAAACAAAATGAATGAATAATCATAGTACATTAAAAAGAGTAAAGATAAAAATCCCTCAGTTGTATACACTGCTAAACTATTCTAAACCTGGTTTTGAACACTGTCAGAGAAGAAGCCTGTCTCACATCTTCAGGAAAACTATTCCAGATTTTAGCTGTATGATTCTGAAATGCGGCCTCCCCCTATTAGAAATGTACTAACAATAAAACTTTCCCCAGATAAATGTATGTATTAGGCGTTTGAATCCATACCATGTCGTCGTTGGGGTTGTCCATATTGTTCATGTGATCTTTCAGAAACAGACAGGCGGCAACAAAGGCAGCTTTAACCTCACTGTAGGGAAGAGGACAGTATGTGAGGAAATGCTTGTCTGCAGACTATACACCAGACATTGTTGAGCTCTGAGCTCTGAGTATACACTCTCTCGCTCTCTCTCGTTTGTTCTTACCTGCCAGCAGCAGTGTCAGGGCCTGGCTCCATCTGTTCTCCTGGAGCCGTTCTCATCCTCACTGTTTTCTCTGGAGCCGCTGCAGACACTGTGTTTCCATCTGTCCCTGCAGATCTCATGTGTCTGCTTGGACTTGTGCCCCTTTCTGCTGGACCATCATGCACCTGGGCATCCGCCATCTTCTCTCCGGGGCATTCGCTCTGCTCCATGTTGTTCTGGTTTGTACTTGTGGTGGAGTGGTCCCTTGAGAAAGAAATGTAATACGTTATGAATGAATCTAAGTGGATTTAAAGCGAGGGAGTCATTTCAACTCTTAACCTTTACTGTCACGATGCATTAACATTCTGATTCACCCTCACAGTTATGACACAGAATGCATTTTACTGTATTTGATCCTATGTTATGAAACATATTCATGCAGGGCTTTTTTCTTTATTTGATTGCAATATTTTTTTCAAAACAATGGAAAGTTTGTGATATCCTGCTGACAGATCAGTTATATACAAAGGGGTGCACATCAGATGAGTACCAAGAGATGGTTTTTGGTAATCACCCTATTTGTTGCGTGGTTCTTAATAGTGATTTTATTCTTGCTTCCTTTTTATGCTAAAGTTTAGGTTGGCTCAAATAATCCACTCTCAAACCATGTACGGAGGCTCCATAGTCCAGCTCTGTTTAATATACTTGTCTATATAACTGCAGTTAAACGTTCTACTCACCTTTCATCCGGGTCCTTTAATAGTCTGCATTGTTTTTTCTTTGTGTCACATTTCGAGTTGTCTGATAGCTGCTCCTCCTGCCTTTGTATTGGTTGATTGTAGTGGGATGACAGTAGATCGACCAGGCCCACCATCTCCTGCTGCAGAAGCTTAACTTTGGGGTCTATGTGTTGTGCCCTTTGCTCTGAACACAGACAGTCCCACTGCTGGTCCAGGAGCCGCCTGATCTTCTGTATGTGACAAACCACCTTTTCCGCGTTCCTTTCGTCCTCCGCTGCCTTCTCACGCACCCCGTTATCGCTGCCAAACCCGGTGTCTTCGCTCTTCACCACCGTCTCTTCTCCGTCCTGCTGCACCACCACTCGCTCGGCTTTCACCCACACCCCAGGATTTCTTCTAAGCTCATCCATCTTGTCATCATCATTCTTTCCACTTTCCCGTTGCCGTTCTCGTAGCATTCCCGTGACCCATTTCAACTCCAGCTCGCTCTCGTGAAGTTTCTGCTCAAGCGCCGCGATTTTGGCCTGGAGCGACGTCACCGTGAGCAGCTCGTCCAGATCCGTGCTGCTCCTCCACTCGTGCGAGGCGTTTGAGTCCAAGTGGTTGTGGCTGTCGTGTCTGGGCCTTTTGACATCGATGCTATTGTAGTGGCATGAAGTGTAGCATCCATTTACATTTACAGACGGCGGTTGAAGGTTTGAACGTAGAGCCAGCCGTAACCGTTCGCGCTCTTCTTGGACTTTGCCGAGTTGAGCTCGCAACTCTGGAATAACCCTCACTTCCATCTCCAGCTCTGCAACACGTTCCAACGCCTCAGAAAGACGCTTTACGAGCCCGGAATTGGAATGGGAGTCAACTAAGTCTTCAAGCGAGGTATTTTTCCCTAAGAGACAATCTCGAGAGCTCCTGAGACTGCTTGCGTCGTCTGCGGATTCAGAACTTTGCCGTAATAGCACAGTCAGGGGTAAACTGGAAGCCCGCAGGAGATGAGGCTTGATGCGTTCACCTAACGGCTGCTCGTCAAACTCCTTTATCCTCGCTTCCATTTCAGCCTGAGATTTGAAACCGGCCAATGAAAGAGGCGCGCTGGTTTCGTGTGACCAGGAGAAACCGTGGTGGGCCCCCAACAGCCGCGACCTCGGCCCCAGTGCCCCGGTGGACCCCCAGGGGCTTGGACGAGAGCCAGAGGAGGAGAGGTGGAGGTGGCGGGGGAGAGTGCTGGCCCGGGGAACCTTACTCCGGCGCTGCATGGGGACACGCTTGATTGTGTTGCCTTTCTCGATGTCGTCCACATACTTGAGGAAGTCTAGATCCAGCTGGAAGCCGTACGGAGTCTCCACGCAGTACGGGGGCTTCCCTTTCAAGCCGTTGGTTTTGTGAGTGAAGTCCTTTCCTGGAAGAATTCAAAAGAAAGATTTAGATATAGATCCGTTATTTGTCATTTTACTGAGTCACTTTGTCCCAAACCCTCATGCTGCTAACATGTATGGAGGTACAGTATACAAACAACTATATATTACTTGCACTGAAATATACAGCATTTTTTACTTGCTCCTTATTATTCTAAAGTCAGGAGTTTTTTTACTTAAGTCTTGCTTCTTCATCAGGCTAAAGTTGGAGATTTTAGACTTCCTTCCATATTATGTTAAAGATAGAGATTTTAAACTGCTTTTTATGCTAGAGTTAGAGATTGTATTTTTTAGTATAGAGTTATTATTATTCATCCATCTTGTGCTGTATGCTCCTCATTCCTTCTGTTCTATAACTTGTGATGCAGCAGTGAAATTTCCCTACTGTGGGACAAATAAAGGATCTCTTCATCTTAATTTGTCCTACAGTGGGGACATTAGTGTTGCATCAGAGGTTACCGAAAAATAGGAATGGGGAGCACACAACACAAAATAATAAAATTAAGAAATTAAGAAAATGTTAAGTATGGCACAACTCTATACTTAAGTACAATTTAGCTTTATATAGAAAAAGTATAAACCTGTAATATAATCATGTGCAAAGGAATACACTTAAATAACTAAAGATTTCTTTAAAAAATAGCAGTCTGTCTGTAGTCAGTTTGTTTTTCTTTAGGCGTTCTTTAGACTCACCATTTTGTTCTCCCATAATTGTCTCTGTGTGGAATAAATACTTCAAATGGCACCGTAAGACTCTGTCAACGAAAAAAAAAACATTTAAAGATGGTTTAAAGTAAATACACACATTTCTTCTGTCCCTCATCCCATATGTTTTCTTCTCTTGACCTGATCATCATCCTCAATGTATTTTACGTTTTTATTTAATGAATTATAACACGAAGAGAGAATCTGTATGCCATTTTTACATTTAACTTAAATCTCCGCCCTACTCCTCTTACAAAACAAAACGTATTTTTCCTCTGCGCTGTCGTCACCTTTACCACAAGCTTGCCTGTTTTTCTCACACTCTCGCTCCTTCATTTCTCCCATCCGTCGGGCACTCATTATTCACTAGTGGTTCCGCTGATGTTCTCTTGATTACAGCTCTGAGAGAGTTGAAAATAACCTCTTTTTCCTCTGCAGCCTCGGCGAGCAGGGGAAAAACACTCTCCAGACGTAAGTATGGCCTGACTATTGTTCTGGTCACTACCTTCATCTTTACTGTTTTTTGGTCTCTCTGTTTGGTTATATTTTAATTGCCCTCTTTTGCCAATTTGTGGTTTGTTTTATGTCTCAGCAATCAAATTATGGTCCGTTTCTCATTCGCACAGCTTACACCCAAAGGAAAGCAGAGAGCGAGACAAAGGCATTATATCACAGAGACAAATGCAGTGGTGCAGGCCAAGAATGAATGACTGCAAACCAAATGTAGGAAATATAACTTTACTAAAGAAACAGGCAATTACACCAAATTACTTAAAATTAATCTCAGTGTAACTTTTTAGCCAAAAGAGGATGAGGAAAAAGCTTTTTGTTCTGATTATGGCTGTTTTTCTGGCAATGACAAGTGACATTTTTTTTACAGTGAGAGGCTTTTATCTCCACACACTTGACTACCACTTGGCCAGGATGTTTTTTTTTTGTTTCTGTCAATGTGGTTCCTTTGACTATAATACACTTACAACTGGAGTACCCAATTTTGAAACCACCAAAATATACCATGTAATAAAATCCATGTAACTAGTTCCGTTCCCTCAAAACGGTTCACTAGTGTTCACATGTGTGTATTTTGGGCCTGTGTCACATTCTTAGATCAGCTTTTTCAGTGACAAAGAGAGCTCTAGCCCTCACTCAGCCAATCAGCTCTCAGTGTGAAGTCTAAGTTCCTCTGGTGCCATCTCCTCATGGCAAAACCAAAACGTTGAGACACTGGAGAAGCCCCCAGGCTCTGGTTCAGCGACCCCACCATTAATCACTTTCCGATGCCTCATGTACTTGCACTTTTCCCCTGTCCTGACCACCGGCCGTCTCTGTGGCAGCACCGTGTCCTGTGGGGAGCCCGGCCACAGCCCCAAACAATGTGAGCTATGCAGTAAACAGGCGCGCACCACCAAAACCTCTGCTGGGAATTCTGACCTCCGCCATTCACACAGTTATTCTGACAGAGAGCACTAAACTACCACTATTATGAAGATTACACATAAACACCATGATTATTTACTGAACGGACAAGCGTGACCTCCGCACACAGGGAACACGAACATTGAATACAAATCTGTGGTTTAAAATGATGCATTTGAGTAAATTGTACTCAATGTACACAATTCATACATTATGTATGAAACGACAACAGCAACATTCTCAAAAAAGGTCTCTGTGATAATCTACAAGAAAATGGGTGAGAAAAAAAACAATGGATGCCCAATGGATAATAGTAGAACCAAAAGCAATGAACATGATCCAACACAAAAAAACCTTATGTGAAAGGAACAGTAGATATTGTTGCAGGTTTGACCTTGGAGTGTCCCAGTGGCTGTAAGAATGAGCAGCATGGTGCTTTTACTTTTTCTAGATTCAATAATTTATTTTCATTGTCACAAAACAACAAAATTACATTTAGAGCACAGGTGTCAAAGTCAAGGCCCGCGGGCCAAATCCGGCCTGCCATTGACGCACTATTACGTCAATTGCGTTTTCCGCTATTTTCATGTTCCCAGATGTCTATTATATCTAATATGTTTGGGGATAAGCTTGAGAGCATATTGAATTGAGCCAGCAGGTGGCAGTAGCGCTCTCTGAATGGTTTGAAAACAGCTAGATGCACTTGTTGTGCCTCTTTTTTTCAGCTTTTTGGTGATTTCAGTAAAACTTCCATCTACTCAACTGGGAATTACAAGCTAGAAACAAAATTATTTTTGCTGATGAAAGTAGACTATTCTTTCAGAATCTGGTTTCGGATTTCAGATAGTCATAGTACACAATATTCTGTGGGTCTTGAAAAATCTATATAAATCATCAGAAACTGCGGGCAATATGGGAGTACCTGTTCTGAAATAGGCTGGCAGGCAGTGAGTTAATAAACATTGAACCAGTCCGGCCCTCGGCTCGCAGCAAATTTGTTTTTTTGGCCCTCTGATGTATTTGACTTTGACATGCCTGATTTAGAGCATCACCATGATAAGCGTATACAGTGCAGAAGTTGGCAGGATGTAAACAGCACAGGGCATAGGTAGATTAGCAGAACAGTAACAGGTTGTATGTGAGTATGTTAGCTGCAAAAACGCACGACCAGTTCATAGTCATGGCAGATATGTAAAAGTGGAGGATAATGGGGGTTTGAGGAGGGGGGCAGTGCTCATTTACCAGTCTGACAGCCTGGGGGTAGAGGCTGTTGGCCATTCAGCTGGTTCGGACTTTAGATCACGGTTGTGTCAACAGAGCTCCAGGATCAATTGTTTTGTAGGTTTTCTGGTGAATGGGTGCCTCTTTAGAGAAAACCTTCCAAATCCTATAGTATCCCAGAGACCACAGTGATGGAAAGGAGGGGCGCCATGCTGACCACACCCTTACAGCCACTGAGTAAATGCAAAAACATACTTTTTCATATAAAAAGTTACACAATGGACCTTTAAATAGAATAATGTTTTGCATGGTATGTAACTCTGTCCTTAATGAGAAGCTTGAACTCTTGTCCTCTTGCTGTCGCCATATTTGAAATCCAATGTATGTGTCACCTATAGAAGCTGATGCTGTGTTTTTTGGCGTGCCGTTTTCCCTTTCAGGATTCTAATGCACATAAGGACTGTATCTTACACTATCCATTTCATAGCTGCATTGTGGTCTAAACATAGTTATCTGGGTTTGAAATACAATCACACAAGATAATGTGTATTTTCACAGGAAATAAATTACAGTATATGTCATTTAATTGCAGCGTTTGTTGTTTTCAAAGTGTGACTGTTCAATCAGTGGTTTTGATAGCAGTTTATCTTGCATTCCTATTATTTTGTTGACGTTAAATGCAAAACAATGACATAAACCTGGTCTGAACTTTAGAGAGGAATCGCTTCTATGCTTGTAACCGGCGCACCTGTTACTGCTCACATCTCAATAAATATCACTGCTGGCCCAGCATCAAGTCTCCACAAACACAGACTGAAGCCAAGGAAAGGTAGCACTACAAAGTTTTCTGACAATACTGAGAGATGGATCTGTCTGTTATGACCAAATCAAATTGCAACAACACAAACCACTGGGAGATGCAGAGTTAATGGAATCATTACCTGAGGGAAAACAAAGAGATGGATTGCTGGTACAACAAGTATCATAACTATTTTTCCACACGGTTTCTCACTTAACAAAAAATCCCCACAGTTTAGCAATTACAGACAAATGGTAATAATTTCACAGTTGAAAACTCAGTGGGAGAGACCTGACTGTACCGGCTTCAACAATATCGACATCTATCTATTATAGAGTACTTAATGTTAGAACAAACCACTGCTATTGTGCTGCATGATTTTTGTTTAAAATGTGTAGCAATAATCAAAAGGATTACACAAAAATGTATGAATTAACCCATGAAATAGAAAGACTGTGGTTCAAGTTTTGAGGAACAATGATGATTTTGGAATAATAATAATAAAAGCTCGTTATTTTCAAGACTTTTTTTCTTGCTTTTCATAGGACGAGAAAGGAACATATAAAAGGCCTATCTGTGCAGTGAAAATAGCAAGTTTGTTTGTAGATTTTGAAAAGAAAAACCAAAGAAACGCACATATTTTAAGGAGCAGATTGAAATGGTTCACATTAGCAGTCAGCAGGCTCACCTCACAGGAAACCCAAAGAAATGAAACGTAAAATATTTCCGTTGCCCTGAACCGGGCCCCAACAAAAGAACTCAGCTGTCAGGCGTTCTTCTCAAACCATATGAAGCATGTGTCGAATTCAACTCATTTCAGAATGGTAAGTTCTCCCAGAGCAGCTGTCCGAAGCTCTCAGATCCCTGCATCAGCATAAACCAGTTACCACAACATCTCTCCATTACCAGGCCGCACAAATGAAGCGTAAACACACGTCAACACTGGAGCTTCTGGAAGAAAAATACACTCACTTCTAACTTGAATCATCAGTATCATGTAATACTACAGTATATCAGTATTAGTTACATAATATGACTTGTATACAGATGAAACTCCACTTGAATAGTGTTCAAAAGTTCTGTAATTCAACTAAAAATGTGAAACCACTATAAGATGTATAGATTACAGATAGAGGGACATTTGCCAAGCCTTTTTTGCTATCATGTTTGGTGACTATGGCTTACAGGTCATTTTCAGAATATTCTAATCTTCTGTGATGTTTTAATAAGATATGTAATTACTAATTTATTAGGTTCAAATTTTAAGTTGAATTATTGAAGTAAATGGATTTGTATGTTTTGCCTGTATATAATTACTCTGATACTTACATATGGTACATTGCAGCACAGACTTCCATTCAGTAATTCATAGTTATCTAAAATTATACATTCACATAGTATCCAGAACTTGTTTTCTTCAGCAGAGTTCGCGAGAGGATAAAATACTTTGCCAGCTGCCGGTCTGGACACATTGCATTATTTTGTGCCCACACAGTCTCGGGCAACACCCCATTTTCCCTGTTTTGTATTCCACAAAAACAGTTTATGGACACAATGAAATTGAAATTCTGTAGTTGTTCTAAAATAGACAACAATAAAGCTTGGGAGGGCAGAAAAACTCTTGTGATGCATATTGTAATGTAAGCAGTTCACCAGAAAGTTGATGCAATCTTCAGAAAGAAGTCTATTCCTGGAAAATCCTCTTCCCTGGCTGCACAGACTGTGGTTTTTCTCTTGAAACAGTCTAAATTTAAAACTTGAGTTTGGTTTGATGTGCATCTAAAGTCGTCTCCATCATTCCTTCCTCACATGCCTGTATATGTCTGGTCTGTATATTTAGGTTCATCTTTCTGGAGACTACTTTCCCCCAAACTAACACGCATCAGACTTTCAATTGTGCCATGTGAGCTCCATTGAACGCCATGTGGATTAAACAGCTGCCAGCCACCAATGGGAAAGTACGGTATGTTAACGCAGAGATTAAAATAGAAAGAGAGGTGTTTCTCTAAGTATTACATTGGGGGATGTGGGTTAACGTGTAATCGATAAAAGCTATTCTTTAGATTAATATTCAGCACAGGTTAAGTGCTCCGTTTGATAAGCTAAGTTGTCATCTCATTCAGACCATGGATCGAACATAGTCAAGGTTAACACCAAGAGCATCTCTACTTTGATTAAGTATTCAACAGATGTGAGATAGAGCATTCTGAAACACACACACACACACACACACTGCTTACCTTGGGGCATGTTATTCTGCAGGGCTCTATTCCTGTAATATGCGCAGTTGTCAGTCCACTCTCCTCCTGTATAGTCCTATGGTAAAAACCAGAGTGTTACTTTGCCATAACAGAAGCTCATGTGTGTGTGTGAAGGGGAGTCCAGACCTGGGAGGGGCTTGGGAACACGCCGTCTGTCCCGCTGGAGTCTGACACAGTCGACCAATGGGAAGTCAGAGGTGGAGGACGAGAATGAAAGGGCTCCTTTGGGACACGCAGCGACAACATGTCAAAATCATGTGGTATGGGGCAAGAGTCAACGGCGTGTGGAGTGAACTTACGGTTTCAGGTGGCTTCGACCGCCCCTGTTCAGAATGTGTAACCCTATCCCGTGTTATGTTCGGTCTTTATAATGAGGCAACGAGAGGGCAGAGCGCAGGGCTGGGTGCCAATCACTGGGGTTAGGGCTGTCACTGAGGCGTTGTCATACTTGGGTGATCCCTTCCAACATGTCACCAGCATCTTCATAAGCGACGCGACTGCTTTGATGCCATCTGCCATTGAAAATACAACAGATATAGTCATAGATATAGTCACATTTAGAAATGTTCTAGTATGCCTGGTTCTTTCTCTACTCTTGACTTGTTTGCACCGAGAGCCAAAGCAATTTCCAGTAACTCACATAGCAATAAAAATTTCCAGATTTTAGAATCAGGACTTAAAAAGTTAAAGCTGAATTGCCTAACTGTGAAACCACAACAAAATAACTGTGTAATAAACCACATTTAATTAGTCACTCTGTCACAACATAGACATTATAAAAAAGCATAGTTTGTTTTACTGTGGCAACTTCTCAGTGCTTTTTTGCTCTTGATCCTGCACATACTTTACATTGCTTTATTAGTTGATCTTAATAGCCCCACCATTACAAATTTAAGCTGTGGTAACATATTGCCTACTTTACGGCCACTAAACACCTCAAAAAGATTCTACATGAAAAATGAATCCATTTGATACATTTCCCAGAAAGACATAAAAAGTAAGAGGCCCATTTTGTTCTGCTCTGTCCTCTTAAAGAAGGAAAAGAAATAGGCTCACTGTGAAAGTCTTCTTTTCCATGACACAGGCAGACAACTGACTCCGAGCTGGATTGTGGTTGCACTTGGAGAGAAGAGAGCGAGAGATGGAGTTCAAACATGCACTATTGGGCCAAGCGGCTGCTGACAGACTGACCACATAAGCAAAAACTTGGCCAGGGAGAAAAATACAGTGGTCTGCTCAATGAGGCGATTTATAAATGGAACAATCTGGGCTATATATTAGGCCTGCAATTAGCTTAAAATAAAAATTGAAATTTAACTTATTAATCATGGACTTAGGTGCACTATACCAGATAGTTAACAGCCTTCAAAACTTTGATTGTACTTACTATTGAGAAGAGAGAACAGAAGGTATCATTTTGAGTATTAATTCTCATAGAAACAGTTTAATCTGCACAAGAATAAAACGTATTCTGCGAGTCTACCAAGGTTGTATATTTTAGTCAAACTAAAACTACATTTTGTAAATTTCTTTACATTAGCATTGCACAGAATCTAAAAATGCATTCTTACACGGACAAAAAAATCAGGGAAACATTTTATGTGCATCTTCTGTAAATAAAGATTGAGCCATTTGATAAACAAAACCAAAAGGTATACAATAATGATTTAAGAGGATGCCTGTTGAAGCGATGAGTTGAAAGGTCACGAGACGAGCAGTCAATATGCCAGGCCGAATAGAGGATTATCACAAGCATGACAGCAGTCCAGCACATTAAAACCTCATTATGATCTATTTTAGTTCCTCTTTTCAGAACAGCACCACCGCTCTGGACTCTCTTTGACCTTTCTTTGTCCTATTTATGCTTTTGATTTATTTTGGTGATAAAATACACAACCATCACTCTTCTCCCGGCCCCTGACAGTTGTGGTGATTGATGAGAAAATGTAATATTTACATATTATGGATACATTTATGAAAAAGTCAACAAATGTTTTTTAATCACTGGAGAGATGCTGTTATTTTAATCAAAATAACTTTTTTTGTAAATATACAGCAAGTACTGTACTGAATGTGAATTTGAATCTGATCTGAATCTGTATTGTTTGTATCATGAGAGCTGGCACAGCTGTTGTGTTTCTTGACTAATATACATACTTTTTTATCTTAACATAAATAACTGCGATGAGCAGGTGATGGGTCACCCTTCAGTGAAGTGTCACCTCAGTTATTGTTTATTCACCTTTAGTACCTTTATAGTAAAGTACCATGTTGTTGTTGCTGTTGTTAATTATGATTTTCCTTTTGATTCCAAGAAAGTATTTGAGCATTTGTGTGAAACCGTATCATTTCCGTTTGGCCTTCGAGCTGAACCTGATTAAAGCTCTGAACTTAGACCTTAAAACCAAAGTAGGTCATTGTCCTGTTTGAAAAACGGATAACAACATCAACTATGACCATGACTCGTTATTTACAAAGAGGAAAAACGTGGCAACATCGAGAAAATAAAACTATTAAGATTTTGCTTTGAGCCTTTTGCCACAGCACTCTCATCACTGTCTGTGTTTATGTTGCTATAATGGGGAAGCAATTATGTAATGATTATTTACAAACTGCTTGCGGAATAGGTTTGAATTGAGTTAATAATTGACTTCACTCCACTCGTAGATTAAATAGCGTGTTTTTGTGTGGTTTGGGCTCACTCATTGAGGATTACGTGTGTGTGCCTGTCAAAATGAGAGGAGATCTTGGATTGGTTTTACTTCTTGTACTTGTAGTTGCCCCAAGCCTAATCTTCTGCGATGATCAAACGGCTTCTCCTACGGCTGAAATTCGCTCTCATTTTGCTGCCCTGGATGAGGTGCGTCTTCTGGCCACAGGTCTTCTTCAGTTGGGTCAGAGTCTGAGAGAGTTTGTGCAAAAAACAAAGGGACAAATGAATGACATTGTACACAAGCTGAACATCGTTGACCACTCTTTCAATCGGCTAACGGTGCTGGCGAGTGAGATCAAAGAGGAGGAAGAGGAGCTGAAGAAGACTACAGTTGTGCTGAAGGCCAGTAATGAGGAGATGAAGGATTTGTCTGTTCGGCTCTACTCTAAAGTGGACACGATTCTACAGGAGAAGAGCCGTCTGCAGAACAAAGTGCAGGGTTTGGAGGAGAGGCTGAGCAGCATGTCTCAAGGGCTGGTCACGAGAGAGCAAGTGCAGGAGCTCAATGCTCTTCGGGTGAGTTGTTAGCCTCTATATGTGAAAATATATTGTAACCAAAGAGCAAATTCATCATAATTATGAACATCACCTGCATGGGAATGTACTTCAAGTTACTCATAATAGACATGTAAGGAAGCAGACAGACAACCACAGAGCAGGCTCGATCTGAGGAGAAGCTGGCACCAGTCTGTTAGAAACATATTTACGGACGTAGTCACGCCTTTCTCCACCGTTCTAACTAATGAGCCAAAAATTGGGCTCTCATGGAGTGATTCAAAATGGCAGCGGGTGCTGGAAAATGTGAAAAAACGCATCTGCGCATGCGTCAGCCGGCACGAGCCCCATTCATTTAAACGAGTGAATTCAAAAATTCACAGCAAGTAAACTAGACTGGCCCAAAAAAATTCACTGCCCTCAGCATTGACACACATGTGGAACGGAGCTTTGGGCCAAGAGCCAACTTTTGGTCCATCCTGTAAAGACGTTCTCGAGAGGTAAGAAGATGCTATATGTTAGCATTGGCTAATTCTTATTCCGGGTCCACCCCCATCGGCCCGGGTTGGTATTGCAAGCATGTCAACGCTCGTCATTTTGGCCACTTTTGAGCCGGGACCCGCCCCCACTGGTTAGAAAGCAAGTTTAAATATAAAAGTAAGTCAGTATAGAAGTAAGTAAAAAAAGTCTATAAAACCTTGTGGTACCATTGAAAGCTACTCTATTGTTACGTTGTTACTGTTAGAAAGTGTAGCAACTCTTACATGACTCTATTATGTAGTATTGAATTGAGTTTGTAATGTTAGTATGGCAAAAACACTAAAAAGTAAAAGCTTTTGTTTGTACTTAAGTAAAAAGGCCAAATGTAAAAGCATTTTTTATAATTATACATGTTTTAATTTATGAGACAGCGGTGCCTTCCAAACACTTATACATCATTTTTATGTAGAATTTTACAACAAACACCTTTATTTTATACACCTTTATTCTCCTTTCCCCGTAGGAGAAATTCAGGTGTCTAGTAGCAGCAGAAACACATCCATCCATACAAACAAAACAAATACAAAGATAATTCTAAAAGTAATGCAACAGCACTTCAGAGGTGGCGTAGCCGCTGGGTGGAGCAGGACTGGTCACAGCAGCAGAGGTGGTGTTAACCAATAATAATGAATTCCCTTAGCATAGCAAACACTTAGCATAGCAACCACTTCAAACTTTGTTTTAAGTTGTATGCAAATTTTTACTAATGCAACAACACTAATCTGTTTCACGACAATCCCTAACCCAGCTCACGCTCCCTACTAGTGGGTAAACAATCCAACGCTTCTGCAAAAACAATGATAGGAAGAGCCGACATTGAATGAGGTAATCAAAGGTCCTTTTAAAAGAAAAAGCGTATAGTTTGCGTACTTGACCTTGTAGAGTGGTCAGCATGGTGCCTTAACTTTTTGTCCTGGTTGTGCCTGCAGTGCTCCAGGACCACAGCTTTATAAGTTTTCTGGTGCTGTGGTCCTTCGAAACAAGTGATCCTATGGCAACCTATAGACCACTGTGAGTGCGATGGAAAGTGAAGGCAAAAAATAATGGTAAAAAATAAAAACACTTTTTTCATATAAAAGTAGCATTGTGCCCCTTAATACAAATATCACAGGGATGAGTTTTACATTTGTATTTACCAGTTGTATGTAACACACACAGTTTTCTTGTTTGGCGAATGATATTGAGGGCATTTCATTATTAGGAACAATAAGGAGGTGTAATAATAATATTCACTTTTGAATAGCTTTTATTTTTTGTAGAACAATATTCACAGCCAGGAGCAGAGCATCACGGAGCTACTGAAGGCTATGAGGGAGCAAAGTACCCAATTAAATCAACAGAGGTCCAAGATTAAGAGGCTTGAGGACAAGGTTGATATGTGAATACTTTCATAAAATGGGTTTCAACGTTGAAACAATATGCCTTTACAGACTTCTGTTCCTTTTTGACAGCTTGCAACCAGCATGCAACTTCAGGAAACCGAGAAAACATTCAATCTATCCAATGACGAAGCACCGCCGCTGCCTTCTTATCGATTTTCAGAAAACATCAATGGATCTGAGTTCATTAGTAAGACGTACAATAAATAACTCCAGCATTTCATAAGCTTTCTAATGCCATTTAACTTCATAATTATAGATTTACCATCAGACTGCAATGAACTCTTTCAGCAAGGAGAACGACTGTCTGGGGTGTATGCAATAAAACCTGACACATCTGAGCCATTTATGGTTTTTTGTGACATGACCAAAGGTAATAGAGGTACTAAACTGGCTTTACTTTATAAAAAAAAAAATATTTATATAAATTTTGCAAAGGGGAGACTGTTATTCAGAGACGAACAGATGGCTCAATAGATTTCGATCAAAACTGGGAAAAGTATGAACATGGCTTTGGAGATTTACACGGTGAGTTTAATCAATGTGGTTTTTGCTTTTGCTTTTGATGCCAGGACATTTCTAGCTGAACTGATTATTATTCTTACAGGGGAGTTTTGGCTCGGACTCAAAAGGATCTACTCTCTTTCTGTAAAGGGGAATTCTGTCCTCCACATTCAGCTAGAAGAGTGGAAACAGTCCAGGCAGTTGTTTGAACATAGATTTAATCTTGACGGCCCTCAAAGCGACTATACCATTCAGGTCCTCCAAGCTGAGGACTTTTCGGACCTGTTGGGGAACCACACGGACACAAGGTTCTCCACAAAGGACAGGGACAATGACCACCAGCCTCATCATAACTGCGCCAAAGACACAGGTAAAGAGACAACAATGAGTAGTGTTATCACAATATTAAAATGTGAAACTAGATTTTGATTCTAATGAATAGCCTCAATACTCAATATCAAAGTCTGGTAGATTTTGACATGTCATTCGATACAAAAACTAGCAGGACTTTTTATAACACCATAATTTTTCCTCCCAGTTTTTCAAATATAGTTCAACATTTGGAGTAGAGATGGGGAGCCACTGGTATCCAAACTAATCAATGGTGGTCATGAACAAAACTGATTTAAAATGTCCAAAAAGAAAAAACATTCAGGGCAACAATTCAGGCATTTTCTACCCCTTAATCCATTTTTGGGTCAGTGGGGTGGCCAGAGATGCCACCCAGTACACATAGCAACAGCTCCTCACTGATCCCTCCTGCAGGTGCTGAGCTACAGGAGTATGGCTGCTTTCAGCGGGGGCTTCAGGCAAAGTGGGGTTAAGTGTCTTGCCCAAGGACACAACGAAAAGAGACATCAATGGGAGTCGGTGGAGAAGGTCTCATGGTGGGCTCGAACCCACAATCTTCAGGTTCATAGGCCAACGCTCTACCAGCTGAGCCACCATCGCCCCAATTCAGACACAAATGAACTGCGTTTGTTTTGTTTTTTCAAAAGTATTTGGGGAAAATACAAAAATGTGTAGTTTTTATACAGATTAATAATGATTATGAGTTTTGACAGCCCTTATGGCAAGGCAAGGCCCCAAAAATAGTAAGTCTTGTATAACATTTTTTAGGGCTGAAAGAGCTGTAATAATAGTATGTTCTAGTATGTCATAATTGTCCCCCACCAAAACTGTCTGAATTTTATTTGGAGATTGATACTGATTGCCCTTGCAGGTGGTGGATGGTGGTTCCATGCTTGTGGAGGCACTAACCTGAATGGGAAGTACATGAAGTCAAGAACGCGGAAGAAGGGGATCCAGTGGAGAGCTGGCAAAAAGAGTTCTTTAAAGTTTATTCAAATGTCTGTGCGGCCTCCTCAGCTTTCCTTTTTGATCACAGATGCGTCTTGACTGGAGTCTGATCATAGACTGTAGAAAGGATAGAAAGTCGGTGAGGTGATGGAAAGGACTTGCAGTGCACAGTGACCTCTAGTGGATTGGTTCAAAGAGCAGAGAAGAGTTCTCTTTTTTTCCTAAAGCCCAATACATGTGTTAACTGTCAGTATGTATGATAAATGTGAATTAGTATATTAGAAAGTATAGGGTTATCTTAGATTCTAAACAGGAGTAATAGTTTCTTATCAATGAAACAATTCCAATCTCCAACAGAACGAGGTGATATCATTTGAAAAGATCCAGAATCAGGTTCTTTTATACCAGATCGACAGCTACATTGTTGTGTGCTTTATTAAACTATTTGTGCTGTATTATTTTTGGTCGTCATAACCATAATACATTTCATTCATTTCCTCGCAGTATTTTGTAAATTAAACTTTAATCATTACAACTTTGCTGCACAGGGTTGGGCGAAATTAAGAAACAAACTTCAAGCCTAGAGGCGACGGTAGCTCAGTTGGTAGAGCATTGGCCTTAAGCCCAGAAGGTCGTGGGTTCAATTCCCACCTCTGCACCTTCTCCACCGACTGCCACTGATGACTGCTGTCGTTGTGTCCTTGGGCAAGACACTTAACCCCACTTTGCCCAAAGCCCCCACTGAAAGATCAAGGCTATGCTCACACTCAGAGAGCAGCCGTCCTCCTGTGGACTCACCACCTGCAGAGGGTCAGTGAGGGGCTGGTGCAATGAGACTTGGGTGGCATCTCTGACTGCCACCCCCCTGACCCAGAAATGGATTAAAGGGTAGAAAATGGATGGATGGATGGACTTCAAGCCTAACATATTTGGCATGTAAAAAACTCATACTGTGGATCGGAAATTGATTTATTGTATTAACAATGTATATGATTATTTTTACAATTATGATTGTTGCGTTGTTGACAAATGACTGAAGAAAACAAAGAATAATTGTGAGTAAGAATGCAATACATTACGCAAACACGCAACTGAAATCACAGTTCACATTTAACTCTCATCATCTATTTTGGTAACTGATAAGTGTTTTATTATAAAATCCATGTGAGCACCTGCAGAGGAGCAGGGGAGGCAACCATGGATTATAAAATCCATGTTTTTATCTCACAATTATGTGGGATGTAGGTCAACCCACATGAACTATAGAGGGCGCTGTTGCACATCTACTTCCTACAATGATATAGTTTACTATCATTGACTATCAACTACTTCTAAATGAATTACTGCTACACTGAACGGGTTTATGCTCGTGTTTTTATCAGTTCAACCTGTATATTATGAATAGAGTCTATAGTCTGTATGTTTATGTTCAGACATCTGTTAATCTTAGCTGAGATAATCCATCTCACCTCACACAAGTGTGAAAACTGCAGGTGTTCCTTAAGCTGAACACAAAAAGAGGCCACTCTAAGAAGCTTGGGTTGGGTGGGTAGTATTTGGTATAACCACCATTTGAACAATTGTTACCACCATGTTCTTCTAATGCACTGTAATCCCTGTTGCACATTTTCTGCTCTCTTTTCTGGGAGCATTGTTCTCCTGAAATAGTACAGCTTCATAGCAACACTTCCTTTGCACATCACTTCACTGTACACAGCTGCAGCTTTCACACCCAGATAACGCTCAGGCCACGCCCCCTTCTTTATGACTGGGCCCAGAGCTTGACAGTGATATCTTTGCACATGTGTGTGGCAGCGCCTTCAGTTTACCACACACCGGCCAGAACTGAAATGTTATTTTGGGATCTAGAAATCCCCATGTGCTTCCTGGCTGCGTCGCTCTATAGGAGGGGCAAAGCCCTCACCCTCCCATTCTAAGCATAACACCCCCTTGTCGATAGACTGGGGATTTCCTCTCAACAATAAGTCTCCAAACTTCAAAATTAGGTAAAAGCCGGAATAAAAACATGGATACTACTCCTCTGCAGATGCTCACAGTGGCCACTGCTCCTTATCTGGACCAGAGACCAGGCACAGGTGGTCTGAGGAAGAGGGTCTGCCTGTTTCAGACCAGACCCCACTATCTACACAACTTCATACAGAGTATCTTCTCCTCCATCGACCTGCGAGAGCGGCAGGGATCCACCATGGTGCTGGGAGGAGATGGGCGCTTTTTCAACAAGACCGCCATCGAGGTCATTGTACAAATGGCAGCAGCCAATGGGGTCAGTGCTTTGTGTTCTGCTGTGGATTCTGTGTAAACATGTGAGAAGTGAACATCAAAGTGACCTGTGCTGCTGGTAAACAGTTTAAAACATGACTTATATCATTTTACAGTTGTATTCTGCACCCACAATGCATGTCATTTAAGATAAGCAAATACTGTAGTTACCTCGTTGAGCTAATTTTTACGTCAATCCCAAATTATGAGACAAACAGTATTATTTATATAACTATGCAATTTTCTATAAAAAAATTACACCGACCCAAATACCTGACTCTAATGTTAGAATGTCATGTGATTGGCTGGAACTGTGGCTTGTGTACTGAAACAGAATACCTTGTTAGTTTTTGTAAGTGCTATGAAACACTGACCTGATGTTTGATGATGCCTCACAGGGGGATAAATTACTCATTGCACATGAGCTTCCTTTAAACTGTGGCGTTTGTGCAGGTGGGACGAGTCATCATAGGACACCATGGGATACTGTCCACACCTGCTCTTTCTTGTGTGATCAGGAAATACAAAGCCATAGGCGGCATCAATCTCACCGCCAGCCATAACCTCGGGGGACTTGAGGGATACTTTGGTATAAAGTTCAACGTGGCAAACGGAGGTAGAGTAACTGGAGAGTCGAAAGCACGCAGTGGCACAGGCCAAGTGAAAAATAGTGTGAGGAGAGAAGTCAAAGAGCATTTAACAAGGCTCAAGTGTGCCATGCTTGGATAATGACTTTGTCTGAGCAGGCAATGCATGATAATGCTTCAGCTTAGCAGACACTCTCTGAATGTTGATGTGGATTTCTGTCATAAACCATCAATGCATAATAGCATTCTATATATTCTGTATGATTCAAATATTGACATTTGACACTCGTTTACATTCAGGGCCGGCGAAAGAAGCTATTACCAACAAGATCTTTCAAATCAGCAGAACTATTGAGGAGTTTGCCATCTGCCCGGGATTAAGGGTGGATCTGACTACTGTGGGAAAACAGTCATTTGACCTGGAGAATAAGTTCAAACCATTCAAAGGTGAAATACTGAATTATAGTAAAATAGGTTTCAGTCTTTCATAAAGTCATTATTTGTTTCAACATCCTCATGTCTTTATTTAGTGGAAATTATCGATTCTGTGGAGTCTTACGCCAATCTTCTGAGGAACGTTTTTGACTTTGCTGCATTAAAGGAACTTCTGTTTGAAGAAAACCAGATAAAAATCAGAGTGGATGCAATGGATGGAGGTAAACACTGTTATTATCATCCTTTGCTGTATAGTGCTTTTTTGAAACCGGTATACTATATTCAAACTTATCCTGGAGTGATCCAAAACAAAGCTCTGCCCACTGTTTGACAGTTGCTGGTCCGTATGTGAAGAGGATATTGTGTGAAGAGCTGGGCTGTCCTGCAAACTCAGTCATTAACTGTACCCCTCTGGAAGACTTTGGGGGGAGGCCTCCTAATCCCACCTATGCTGCAGACCTGGTGGAAGACATGAGGAGTGGACTGTGGGATTTTGGCGCTGCCTTTGATGGTGATGGGGTTCGTTTGGATTTGACAACATTGTCTACATCTAATAATCTAATTACCCATTCTTTCTTGTTGTTTAGGATCGTAACATGATCCTTGGTAAGAATGGATTTTTTGTGTCTCCATCCGATTCTGTGGCTGTAATTGCGGGGAACATCTTTTGCATCCCGTATTTTCAACAGACAGGCGTCAGGGGCTTCGCTCGCAGCATGCCCACAAGTGCCGCTTTAGACAGGTGATCCTAGTTGCACAAATTTTAAAACCATAATTAAGATATCATTGCGATTGTAAGTCTTTAAATGTACTTGTTTTTGGCAGAGTTGCTAAAGCCACAAAAATAGAATTATATGAAACTCCTACAGGTTGGAAGTTCTTTGATAATTTGATGGATGCAGGCTGTCTATCACTGTGTGGGGAGGAAAGCTTTGGGACAGGTACAAAAAGTTTCAAACACATTTCTGTGTGGGAAAAAGTAATTACCTTCACAAAGTGTGTGCATCAGGAAGTGACCACGTTCGTGAAAAGGACGGGCTTTGGGCTGTGCTGGCTTGGCTCTCCATACTTGCTGCAAGACGACAAAGCGTGGAAGACATTGTTAGAGATCACTGGATAAAATACGGAAGAAACTACTATACAAGGTTTGACTCTACAACTAAAGCCTTATTATTATTTATTGAAACACACAAATACACATATGTCATAAAGCGTCAAAGGTTGATTTATTTCTGTAATCTAACTTAAAATGTGAAATAAATCATGTTGATGATTACTGCTTATAATCCATTTTCAAAATACAGTATTATAATTTTGTATAATGTCTTTTTTGGTATTTTTACAAGCTATGTGTAATTTATCAAACATTATAACAAGTAAAGGCTTGATATATCCCACTCATTACCCTTTGCATGTAATGAGTTTATCATACGTTTGTTTCACATTATAACTTGAAATAAAGAAGTAAAAACATATTGCAGTCTTCACCTGAACGCACTGATTCTAATTCAGTCAGTGATTGAGGCAGGTTGAGCTGAGAAAGAGCTTCTCTTGGAGCAAAGCAGCTTCCTAAATATTTACTTCAGCACGTTAATATTCACTATTTTGATATCCATATAATCATTAACTTGACTATTCACAAACTTGAAAACTATTCAAAGCATGCGCCTGTTCAGTGAGATAAGGGACTGTTACAGCCCAAACTGAGAGGTACAAACAGAACAGAACTTCTCTCCCTTTGATCGAGCATGTAAAATCTAACTCAAACAACAAAAGAAAAACCAACACAGGCCAATTTTCAATCTAATGGCCAATCAGTTTATCTGACATAATTAAGGACATTAATTGATTACCAAAATGATGGTATCTGGAGTTTGGACCAAGTACTTGTGAATTCATATTTTGCTGTTTTCTCTTCAGATATGACTATGAGAACGTGGACATTGATATAGCTTGTGAAATGATGGAAGATTTGGAAATTCTGATCACTGACAAGTCATTTGTGAAACAAAGATTTGCTGTTGAAGATAAAATATTTCAAGTAGAAAAAGCAGACAACTTTGAGTACACAGACCCTGTCGACAGTACCATCTCCAGGAACCAGGTACTCGCCAATGTGTCATTGTGATGATTTTTGTGTATAAAGTTATAGTTCATCATGTGGCAACAGGGAATTTCACACTTTCAGGATTCTTTAATAAGATGAGATAAAGGGAATTTTATTTTATTTTACTAACACAATAAACAGCTGTATAAAGTCTATAAATGAAAAACTAGTGCAATTCGGAAAGTTAAACATGCCACAGTCAGTTGCCTCAGTCCAACTGATGAAACAGTTTGGTGTCTTAAATACCCTGAACACGGCTCGGGAAAAAGACAAGAATATCTCAAAAAAGCTAGTTGAGTCGGTTTTTGGTCGAAAAACCCAAGGTTTTGGATTGATGGATTATCTACTCTCCTCTTTAAATTTAATTACATTTGAATAATGTATTGTGGTTATCATTTTGTTCTTTTTAAATATTGTATTTAAAAATAAATCCATATCCATTAGTAAATAAAGTGACTGAACTGCCAGTGAACCAAACGTCGTGACACCGACAACAGTATTTCACATACTGGGAATATGTCCAGAAAAACACCTCTTTTCTCTTCAGGGGTTGAGGATCATCTTCTCTGATGGCTCTCGAATTATCTACAGACTCAGTGGAACGAGCAGTGAGGGGGCCACAGTTCGAATATACATCGACAGCTATGAGCAACACGATGTTTTCCAAGATACTCAGGTACTGAAGTAATCAGGCCAAGGTAAAATAATCTATATTCACGAAAGTCGAAGGTAATTATTGGGCTTTGAATGAAATGTCAAATCTGGTAAATGTGCCTTACCATCATATATTAGAAAATTCCTTCAATGACTTTACTGTTCAGTGGTAAACTATACCAAGCCCCATATGTACAGTATATGACTACATGTGGAACATGGGAGTAAAGTGATGCACACTAACCTTGGCATTTTTGAACAGGTGATGCTGTCACCCCTAGCAACCATTGCAGTGAAGATTTCTCAGCTGCACATCAGGACAAAGCGCACAGGTCCTTCAGTCATCACATGATACAGGACAGACTGTGTTATTTAATGCCATTGTCTGTTTATCTTTTTCACAAACTGAGCTGCCCTTCCATACGATATACTTCCTTCTGCTGGGCTAACATGTAAATGTAAATATATTAATTGTACAACAATAAACTTTTTACTTTTGTTTTTAATTCCTGTGATTTTCTGTTTTGGATCCTAGTTTTGTATAAATCATTCATTTTAACCCTGGTTGTCACCATTCAGCACACATATGGATCAAAATTAGAATCAAATAGCTGAAGGCAATGCATGGTAAAAAAAATTCACATGATCATCACAAATGTTATTACGAATGAAATAACTGGGGTTTTTTCTTCCTCAGTGCCTCTAATATAATGTGAATAATCCAATCTCACTTAATTTGGATAAATTACAATTTCACAGTCACAACCACCCTGAAATTGAACTTAGGCAAGCGGGTCGAGAGATAAAATATGCACAACATCATTTTATGAGCAAACATTCAGTGAGAGGTAGACGTTCATATAACAACCATACCTTATTTCCATGCAGCCACCCACACACTCACAGCATAATCAGGAGCCAGTGCCATCAGGCCCATCCCTGTGATCACTGATGCCCTTTGATGTTCTCCCTCATTGTTCTGGTTTGACAAAATGCTGAAACAAAATAGAAACACTGTATAAGGTTCAGTAAGGCAGAAGGCATTTTTTGTTGTTGAAAAAATCTTATCTTTTACACACTGAGAGCTGATTGGCTGAATGAGGGTAATTAACTCTGAAAAAGCTGCTTCGAAAACAGGCCTATACTAATTAAAGAAATAGTACAACTACATGCACGTAAACACCAGTGATAAAAAAACGTAACTGTTTTCTGAGCTCGCAACTTGTTACATAAATAGTATTTAAAGAAAAGCAAGTCTGTATGAATAGCACAATTCATATACCAGGCTACTCAAAGCTTCACTAAACAAGGAAAGAAACATTTCAATACAACAACTTTAATACAAACAGAACTTAGAATAGAACTTAGCAGTGAACTCTTCTTCTCGAGTTATTTTTGAGATAAGATTATTTTAAACCTGTAGACATGTAGAGAGTTTACCCACTGCACATCCTCGCTTCATAGACTGCTCCCAAACTGTATAATTGTTTTGTAAAGTCATTTTCAGAAAATACATACTCACAAAAAGTAGCATGGAAAGCTGAGCACGTTTTCTTCGCAATATTGACTATTGCTGACTATCGACTGATAATCGGACTCGTAAATAGACCTGCTGTGTCTTTAAGAAAGTCACGTGACGCCTAATACGGAAAAAGTCGGAAGCAGGAAGTTGGACTACGAGATTTGTGCTAATAAACAATACACAAAGGAGCTGAACTAATCCAGGGGAAAAGGCAATGGCTGGGATAAAAGGTGAGTTTAATGTCATTTATAACAGCGGTTAAATATTTAGTTTAGAGTAGGTTACAGGTTGTTTGTACTTTCTTTTAAAGATACTTACTTCAGAAGTACTGTTGCGATGGTCTTTTGGTTTTCTTCTCATTATTCACGCTGCCTTCCCAACCCATTTATATATCCACTTTAGCTGAAGGCCATTTACAGAATTGGAATGTATTGTTTTGGTCATATACTGTTGATTTCTTTGCAGCACTTGTTGGATTGTCGTTCAGCGGTGCCATTGGATTGACGTTTCTCCTCTTGGGATGTGGACTGGAGCAATACGGGTGAGCATTTTACTCAATGTACAACTAAACATGTATTTTTCAGCTTTGTTTGAATTTTTATGAATGCCATTTTAAAACTCATTCACTTTTCTCACAGCGTATACTGGCCTCTATTTGTCCTGATTTTTTATGTCCTGAGTCCCATTCCGACATTCATCGCCAGACGTGTTAGTGATGATGACTCCACCAGCAATGCTTGCAGAGAGCTGGCCTATTTCCTCACCACTGGCATTGTTGTGTCAGCTTTTGGACTACCGATTGTACTTGCCCGCACCACTACTGTAAGTCCCAAGTTGTATGATGAGAGGAAATAAAAATTCAATATAATCTTTCATAAATGAGGCCAGCAAGTTGATAGGTCTTTAGGTTCAGCATATTTTAAAGTACACGCATGTTTTTTCTCTTTCAGATTCAATGGGGTGCTTGCGGACTTGTAATGACTGGAAATGCTATTATTTTCCTCACTATTTTGGGATTTTTCATTGTGTTCGGAGGTAGCGATGACTTCAGCTGGGAGCAGTGGTAGAGTGCAGTAAACACAACGGGAAAACATGGATGTGTAGGTGGATGTTTGAATGGAAGAACTGCAGAAGAACAGGCTACTGTATTTGGTCTGTACTGCTTAAGTGCCTTAGGTGTGGAAGCATATAAACACTAAAATGTATTCTTTACTTTGCAAATATGTTGCTTCATTTTATGAATATTATGCATCTCCAGGCACATGAAGTATGTCTACAGACTGATCAAACAGACTTACTATTCAGACAGGGATGTGTCTTCCGTAATTTGCATTTGTTAGATGTAATCAATCCAATCCAACAACTTTTGTTCTTCCAGAAGGCAATTCAGTTTGCAGATTGGTCTTGTCAACAGTTAAAAAAAAACACATGATCAAGACAAATTAGGCCCCATAACAAATTAGCATGCAAGTTATGCCCAGTGAACAGTCAAATATAAACTATTTATCTGTATATATAATCCATCTCATTTTTTTCTGGTGCAATGTTTACGTTCTCACCAAAGATCATTTCGACTGATCCACTGACATGTATATGCTTTTTTTCTGTGATCTTTTGTAACTTCCAAGCTATGCTCACGAAACATATTTGCAATTGATTTTATTACAACACATTAGTTTCATTATTATTTTACAGGATAAACAATGGTTAAAAAAAAAAATACTGATACCTGAATAATACTGCGTTATTTGTGAATATTATTCAGGCCATTGAACTTTTCCAGACATTTGTATTGATATTTTGATAAACAAGTTGTGTTACGAAACTGTTTTAACCTTGTGAATTGTATCCTAATTGGGCTGTTTCTTTTTATTATTAGATGTATTTATTTTGTTCATTGTCTTCTAATGAGGGTTATCTTGTCTTCTTTGAGCAAAAATAAATTGTGGAGTAAAACTGAATTGTAGAATGAATGAAGTTTATTTCGATCACGTCTGCATTTTACACATCTTCACATGACAGTAAATTACAATGAGTGGAATAAAGATATTTTGTCTTATTGGTGAGTGATTAAATGGCAAACTTATGAGACATGCAGATGAATGTGGCATAGAGAAAAATACTTAATGAACTATATGCTTATACAATTGAGTGATACACTTCCCCGTCTCCCTCTTATGGGACACATAATATTTTATGTTCATATTTTTACTTGCTTCTATGAACTTATCTGGATGGTGTGGATTCTGAGATTTTACATACAGCTGCTGTTGCCTGGCAACAAAGACTTCAAAAAAAATATTCAGACTCTGGAGTTTGGCCTTGAATTCGGTAAATCCATTTATCTGAGATTTACTGAAGTCTATTTCCAGACTATGCTTTGGTTAGTAGTTAACATGTGTTGTTTCCTGCATCGTTAAGTACATCACAATCATCAATGTATCTCATCACGCCCCTCCATGGGCTGATGAACAGTTTGTAACGCTATCAAGCGAAAACACGCATAAAAATGTGGAACACTTTTGTGAATGGGAAAACACTCTAAAACGTTGCTTTTAATAGGAATCTGAAACGCATAAATATTTTAGCGTTTAATGATAAAAAATAGAAGCAGCTTCCATGGCTGTGGATCTCAGCCGGACTTTGTCCCGGAGGCTTCAGCCGTGCAGTCAGGGGCGGAGGGGTGACTGTCATTGGCGGGGTTCGGCTTCTGCGTCGTGTGTCAATGCAAATCGATTCGCTGTCGGGGTCTGAACACAGACCAAGCGCGAACGACACAAATGGGACGTAATATAAAGGAGGCTCTCCGGCTCTCATGCACGGCCACAGGAGGAGGAGCGCTCTGGAGCACGTCGTGAGGCGGCAGTGTGCGAGGAGCTCCAAGCAAAGGTAAGAAAGTGTTACTTACACTGCCTCTTATTCATGTTTACGTCCAGTGCATTCCCGATAGTGATAACCCGAGCCTCTGAAGCACTCACACTAGTTTGTGAGCTCGGTGAACTTCTTTTACCGCGATCTCCCTCTCTACTAAGTGTCATTAACACACAAAGACACCTTTATCGTGGACACTATGCTACAGTGCAACTAGAAACGCGTTACACATGCAAATATTACCTTTCCAATACCAGGAAACAACATGCGAATAATGACTATTTTAGCTCCGAGATTACGCTATCCACTAACACGTAATCCACACTCCGTAGCCCACAACAAAAGGGTGAGTGTGATTCTATTTACAAATCTGAGTTAAATGAGGTCAGCCAAGACGTGCAGGATTAATGAATCTAATTTTACGTAAGAAAGCGTGGCTGTGATGGTAGTAGTATCTTATTTTTCGTCATTATCAGGATTTGGGCTTTGTTTTGAATGCAGCTCGATTCCACAGTTTGGCTCAGTCACACGTTTCCCATCAGGTGATCTTATTTTCAGAGTTGTCTTTGTTTGTATTACTGGGTTACGACAATGGAACAACCCACAATAGGCAGAGGGTGATAGCAGGCGATGTAATTATATTATTATAGAGTCAAAGGTTGTTTCTGAGTTTTGGAGTGGTTCAGGAGTGATAGCTAGAAGGACCCATGAATGAGTGTAGGTCTGAATGAGGGATTTGTGACAACATGAGCATTGCAAACTACTTAAATTCAAAAATAAATAAATGAATAAATCTAGAATATATAAAAAGCTCAATGTTAGAGAAACCTTTTTGCTATTGCATTTTCTAGTGAAATTTCCCCACTAAGGGACGAATAAAGGTTTATATGATCTTATTTTATTGTGTTTTACTGTTGATAACTGCTGCTTTTATCCTAAGGGACATCCTAGTAAAATAGCTGAAATTGAAATGTTCAACTTCAATGTTTGGTCTCTATATTTTCACAGTGAATGCTAAACGAATTAATAGTTACCTAATGTAACTTAAGTTCTACGAATAGGTGCGTAGTCCCTTAGGACTTCGCTAGTGGGATATAACTCGTGACCCCCAGGTCACGCGCCAGAGAGATCAAAATAATTTGCTCCAATCACCAGCCACCCTCCTCTATAAAGGCCCCTGCACAAGGCCGCACCCCCTCTTGAACTCTGCCAAGCCGGGCTGGCCTGATGGGCTCGTAGCTAAGGGACTACGCACCTATTCGTAGAACTTAAGTTACATTAGGTAACTATTAATTCTACGTCATGGTGCTACGTCCCTTAGGACTTCGCTAGTGGGACACAACGCGGAGACCGTAGGAACATGTACTCCCAGCAGGCCAGCGAAGGGTGATTGGAGCTTCGCCCGAGCAAGACCCTCACACAGTGAGAGGACTCAGGGCAGAAGAAGCAAATGCGTGTTACAGGGCCACTCCTACCAAGGATACCCCCACGTAACACAGACCGTAGGTCACCCGCAGTCCCAGGACGCCTCTCCCAAGAGCTCCTGACGTGGACTACCTGACCGACCAAAACACACATATATAAGTACCGCACCTGTAGGACGCCTCTCCCAAGAGCTCCTGAACCAGGGCGGAAAGTCAACCGAAGGCCCCCTCAGAGGAGGGACCTAACGGTCTAACTCAGTCCGCTGCACTCAGCACGGAATGGGCCACCGACCGGTCCGACACATCCAAAAGATAAGACCGGACGAAAGAAGAGGACAACGCCCAAGAAGCCGCACGGCAGACGTCCTCGACCGACGCCCCCCTGAGAAGGGCCGTAGAGGCCGCCATCCCACGCGTGGAATGCGACCTGAAGCCCACCGGGGGGGCCAGACCCTGCGTCTGATACGCACGCCGCACAGCCGTGGCGACCCAGTGCGCCAGCCGCTGAGCCGACAGCGGGGCGCCCCTGTTCTTGGGGCCCAGACACACAAACAGCTGACCACCCAACCTGAATGACGACGTCATGGCCAGGTAATGCCTCAGCATTCTGACAGGACACAGAAGGTGCCGCCGCTCCTCCTCGGGGGAGGCATGCGGTGGTGGATAGAAAGCCCTAATCCTGATGACTCTCGACCTAAAGGCCGACGTGATGACCTTGGGGAGAAAGGCCGGATTGGGCCACAATTCCACCATGCCGTCGCCTTCTCCAAAGGACAGGCAAGACGCATGGACAGAGAGCGCACACAAGTCGCCCGCCCTCTTAGCAGACGCCAACGCCAGCAAGAGGGCCGTCTTAAAGGCGACACACTTGGGACTTGCCTCCGCCGCCGGTTCAAAAGGCGGACCCGACAGCCCCCTAAGGACCACCCTGAGGTCCCAAACCGGGGGCGTTCTCTGGAGCGGGGGCCTCCTCCTGCGTGCCCCCTGCAGAAAACGTTTAACCAACGGATGAGAGCGGGCTGTGAACCCCCCGAATCCGTTGTGACCCGAGGTAATGGCTGCCGCGAACACCGCCAAGGTGGCGACAGCCCTCCCTTTGTCAAAAAGCTCCTGTAGGAATCCCAGGACCCCCTACAGCGGGCAACGCCTGGGATCCCAGGAACGGGAACCGCACCAGTCGCTGAAGAGCCTCTACCTCGTGGCGTAGGCCCTCATAGTGGACGGCGCCCTCGCCCCCTGAATGGTCTCCACCACCGCAGGGGGAAGACCCAGGTCTACGAGGTTCCGCCTCTCAGCCTCCAAACCCAGAGCCTGCGGCCGATTATCGGGCGTGAAAACAGGGCTCCCCCCCCCGGACTAGAGCCCCCGGCTCGTCCGGGAGGGCCCAGGGCTCCATCACCGCCATGCCCCTCAGGAAGGGGAACCACCGGGCATGCGGACTGTCCGGAGCCACCAGGATCACCGACCTCCTCTCCTGTTCGATCCTCCGCAGCAGGACCGGCAGGAGACGCACTGGTGGGAAAGCGTACAGCAGGCCCTCTGGCCAGGGGTAATGAGCCAGAGCGTCCACGCCTAAGGGCGGCTCGTCCGCGGCCCTTAAGGCGAACCAGGACGGGCACTCTGCGTTTTCTGCACTGGCGAAAAGGTCGACCACTGGACGGCCGAACCTCCGCCAGATCTCCGCAGCTACCCGTGGGGCCAGGCCCCACTCGTCCTGGAGTGGGCCCCCCCTGGACATCCTGTCGGCCCCCACGTTCCGGACCCCCGGGACGTGGCGCGCCCTGAGAGACAGGAGGTGAAGCGCCGCCCACAGCAGCGTCACCGTCGCCATGCGATGGAGAGCGGGGGACCTGGTGCCCCCCTGCCTGTTCAGATAGGAGACCACTGTGGTGTTGTCTGAGCCCACCATCACGTGTCTCCCCTGCAGCTGAGGAGCAAAGTGCAGCAGTACCCTGTGCACTGCCTCCATCTCCAGCAGGTTGATGTGACGGGCTGAGTCCGACCAGCAGCCTCCTACAGAGCTCAGGCCGAGGACCCCGCCCCATCCTTCGAGTAACGCGTCCGTGAACACCTCCACGTGAGACACGGCGCAGGCCAGAGTCACTCCGTCCCGCAATAGACCCGGAGTGAGCCAGAACCTGATGTCCGATGCTGCCACTTGGGGAACCCAGATCAGCCTCCCCCCGTCCCGGGAGGGGTGAAGCCTGAGGCGTGAGAACCACCTCTGAAAATTCCTCATGTGGAGAAGGCCTAGCCGCACCACAGCATGAGCTGCCGCCATCATTCCCAGCAGGGACCTGAGGCGCCGAGCGGGGACTCTGGGGCCCGCCAGAACCTCCCTGGCCAGACGGGTAATGTTCATCCGTCTGTCCACGGACAATGCAGCACGGAATGTCACAGAGTCTAGCTGCAGGCCGAGATAAATCATGCGCTGAGCTGGCTGCAGCTTGCTCATATGGGTCAGGGCGCCTCCCGGGCGAACGCTCCCTGCCTCTGTCCCAGCTCCGTGCTGGTGGGCGGGCCTCGCGCCTCGGCGCTAGGTGCTGGGCTAGGCTAGCCGAGTCCTTGGCTGCGGTCTCCAGTCTAGCCACCAGGGCCTGCATGTCCGGACCGAAGAGGGACGTCTGGGAGATAGGCAGGTCCAGCAGCTGCCTCTTCTCCGCCTCCCTGATGTTGGCTAGCCCAAGCCAAAGGTGCCTGGCCCCAACTTGAGCTGCTGCCATGGAGCGGCCGCCATCAACAGCTAGCGCCTGGCACATGCGCAGGATCGCCGCTGAAGTGGTCCTCGCCTGCGATAAGGTGTCTCCACTGAGCGCCTGGCCAGAAGAGAGCAACCTATCCAGGGCCCCTGTGATGAAGGCCATGTTATTTGCCACAGCAACGACCTGTGCCGCATTGGCGTAACATCTATCCAGCATAGCCAAAGACGTCCTGTCCCGCTCGGAGGGAAGGAGAGGTCTGGTGCCGGGCCACACGGATGCGGAGGGGTGCAGGGCCATGCGGACCGAATCCTCGATGTCCGGGACCCCGCCGGTCCAGGACCAGTCCTGCACGCTGCAATACATGCCGTAGCCCAAAGCGGGCCTCTTGGCCGCTAGGGGCTTTGGCCACTCACGTGTCGCGTAATGGACGATCGGGTCCATCCGCGGGCACAACGTGGGCTGTATCCTCCTCCTCCCTCGAGTGGTGGCGTAACCAGAGGTGAAGTCCTCCGCCCTCTGGGTCGGCTGCGGTGGCAGGGGGGCATCCATGATGGCCGCCGCGGAGGAGTAGAGCCCAGGCATGTGGTCCAGTGGGAAGCGGTCCGGCTCCGGGTTCGACACCACCTCGTCCAGCGTGAGGAGGGAGCCGACCTCCGAAACCTCTCCGTCCTCACAGTCACCCCACTCCGCGGGCACGGGTGGAAGGTCGAGTGGGGCCCAGTCAGTCTCAGACTCCTCGTCCTGAGAGGAGTCCGGACGGGGCGCGGCAGCGGCGAGGAACGCACGTCTGCGTTCGCTCTCCTCCCTGGGGAGAGCGAGACACGAGGTGCAGGTGGCGCTCAACGCCGCATGGCCCGGGCCCAGGCACATGAAGCAGCTGGAGTGCTGGTCC